TGTTGTAGTGAGCCAAACGAGAAGCCTCGTTAGCGATACGCTCAAAGACATCATTAACGAAAGAGTTCATGATGCTCATGGCCTTGGAAGAAATACCGGTGTCGGGGTGAACTTGCTTCAAGACACGGTAGACATAGACGGCATAAGATTCCTTTCTGGACTTTCTCTTCTTCTTGTCTCCGGTACGGGCGACTTTCTGGGTCTTGGCGGCTTTCTTAGCTCCCTTGGCAGATGGCTTTGGTGGCATCCTTAGGCTTTTACTGACGAATCAAGTAGTGGCGACAAATTGAAATTTTTTTGTTATATGTCAACAGCGCGCAGGCTCCGCCTACTTTTACGCACGGTTCTCCTTATATGAGGTTATACTTTTTTTATGCCTATTGAGTGACCTCAGTCAAAACAATGATCCGTTTTTCATGCATAACAAGTCGTTCGCGCTTGTGGTTTTTAGATTAATTAAACTTTGTACATGTATGTGTGATGTACAGTCATTAGCATTCTCATATGTAACTTATCAGTCAATTTTTGTGAAGACTCGAAGACTGAGATTTTTCGTTTTGATTAACAATTCTCATAAATAAAATTCATTACTTTCAGCATTGATCAAATTATTAGTATTTATATTGTCCAGAAAATGAAATATCTAATGATGTGTTTTGTGAACTATCCGAAAAAGTCGTCCTAAAATATAATAATCAGAATGCAACCGTCATGTGAGTGTAACGTACATCATCGTCGGCAAGCTGAGAAGAGAAAGACGTACGATACAGACCCGTAGGAGGAGAACTGGTACTCTGATAAATTATTGTATTTGAAAAATTTAGTTTTGCGTACTTGATTGATCAAATCAGGATTACTGGCAAAATTCTTATTAGAGTATTCTTGTTCCATTTTCTCTAAAATATACTTGGATGTTATTATGGGGGGTGGTAACTGCGATGAAAGTCTGTAAATTGAGAAAAGTGAATGATAAGAGTGACTAGCAAGCCTTTGTATACGAATTGGCTGAACTATGAGATCGTTAGACACGTTAGAGGCTTCTGATTTAGCATCGAAGTTATTCTGAAACAAATTGTTGATCAATGAACGCGATATCCAGTCAGAGTCATACTAAGTAATCATGACTATGAGATACAGCTTGATTGTAACGACGAGAATTGTTTGCGTTTCTAATAGGAGTACGATATATGTTTTGTTCACGCTCCTCTCTTTTGCGCGTATATGGACCGCACGGAAGTCTGCAAACCAATAGTTATGATAATACATAATAGGTTTCCTTACTTATCCCGATAGAAATAGAGTACAACAGCCAAGAGTATGAGTACAATCAAAGCAGCTACGCCTATTACAATCCAAACAACTGGAGTATGTTTTTCCGTTACAGGTTGAACCTACAAAAATTAAAGTTCATAAAGATAAACATGCTCAAAAGTCACTATCGGTAAGCAGGAGAAAATTCCATCATATCCGGAGAGTTCTTCGCATGAATGTCCTGAGCCACACGATGCAGAAAGCTTGAAAATTATAGCTGAATAAAGAAGTTCCAAAAAACATACCTGAGGTGAACATGAACTAGTTACTCTGCATGTGGGAGCAGTATCAACGCTCGGACAAGGGATGCATGAGGTCATATTGAAACTGGGCTGTAAACGTATAAGTTAGTATGTGCAATTGGAGTAAACTAACTTGGTATTTCCCTTGCTCGCATGCGATGCATATTGCTGCAAATGCCGTGCTCGGACTCACGGGATACTGAATATCAGGAGATATAATGGTATTAGGAGGACACCATGGTATATCGCAATCAGCCAAGTACTTTGAAGCCTTAGTTCTTGTATACAAGCCTATTGGGCAAGTAATGCATGGCCCCAGAGTCACATTCTGAACAACATATCAGAGATGAAACAGAAGTAAATCTTACCTTGTATGTTCCAATAGGACATGGCTGACAATATACTCCGTCTATATCAAATTCATAGCCTGGAGGGCAGGTTAGTGAACAATCCGAATCTTTTGTAGCTCCCTATTGAGCTCATCAATGAAAGAAGAGTTAAAATTCAGAAACATACTGTTAAAGGAGTGCTTGTATACAGCGGACACGTTAAACATTCGTCTGTTCCCTCATTAGGTTGATACGTACCAAATGGACATTGAAGACAGCCTGATGTTTTGTTGGCATAATAACTTCCCACAGGACATTTCTCTGGAAATAATTAACTATTCGATTCAACTTCGAGGCATGGATTTTTACCGTAGCATTGATTATAATCAGTAGAACGAACTCGCGAGCCGGTAGTTAATCCATCTGGACAAGGATCGCAATCGTCCAGTTTGTTGGATGAAGTGTTTCTGAATTCAAATTTTGAAAGAAAGATAATTTTTTTTACCGGTAGGTATCTGGAGGGCAATCCCAACACTGCATTGTGTATCGATAGAGAAATGTTCCAGGCGGACAGTTTGCTTCAATAGCCATTTCGGTTAAGACAGGGATTTGAACAAGCTTACCACATGAATAGTTATCTCCGGTGATTGAACTCCTAGGATGTGTTTCAGAGCAGTTGAATTGGGAATCAACCGTGGAGGATCCATTAGGAAACCGTTGTTTTATACTGCGATCAACAGGGTCAGAAAGCATCTTCCTAGTCGTACTGAAAACGGGATAACTTGATGATTGAACAATTGACGAATGGCTACTTCAGATAAATGGCATAAGTAAACGACTGTTGAACAGCTTCTCTCTTTTCGCGATGAGGTCGGTGAAGAGATATGTTGCACAGCGGCTCTATAACTATCTGGTCTGTACAGTTATCAGTGCAATAACTAGCTATATCGGCATAAATTGTGTCATACAGCTCATCGAATATCTAGAAAGGCAGACTCGTCATCATCTAATTCGTCTGAAAATCGTTTCCCACCTGTTCACAATTGCCTTCAGCATCTAGTGATCCGTTTATTGTCTGTTGTGGAGTTACAGTATTTCCACAGCTGGGAAAACTATACTTCGAATTCAGATTAGCATTCACATTGTGATCCCATTGGCCCTGAAGAAAATAGTAAGAGAGCTCATTAAATCATTAGGGGAAGACCATATCATCACAAGTGAAAAAGCTGGGATTGTTGCTCGCATAGAAAATGTCATCGCAATCTATGAATGCCGCTTGTCTGCTGTTAGTTCCATTGATTCTTTGCTTGAGAACATGTCCTTGGATCTAACGAGTTGGAGAGTTTAAGATATATCAGAGAATCCCTTCTACCTGATTGTCATCCGTTGGTTGGCAATCTACAGGACTTATTGCCAAATCAAATTCACAAACTGCTGTGTTTCCTGCTTCATCTGCTGCCACATACATGACATGGTAGAAACCCCTAGTGGAAGCAATGCTTAATCATAATTGAACAGAGAATCAAACTAACCATTTGAAAAGTTGACCAGAGCGAAAGTTGCTTGTGATAGACGATACTCCGACGTTATCGTAGAACATATTCTGTGTTGGCCACTCAACCGCAGCAAGCCGATTCCTACTAATGACTCGCATATCCAACGGACATTCAACTACAACAGGAGGAATTTTATCTAGAAGACATACATTTTTTTATCGTCAGACAGTAATGAGAACCTGTATCGTTACAACCAGGACGGCCAGGAAGGCAGTTCGACGTTGAGCATATGCCCGGCACAACAGTTTTGATGGCCGGATTTTCTCGACTAACAGTTGTGAAGTTGGCCCAGTTTATAATAAGATCAGGATGGCCTAAACACAAAGACTAAATTAAAGTTTTGATTTCAAACAAACCTGAATTCCATTTTGTGCATTCGAATGTCATTTCAGCTATTTCAGTTTCATTAAGCCGAGACGAGTAAAGCTGAAAAATGTAATAGCATATCATAGTTATAACCTGTGTACCTGTATCACACTGATAATTCCTTCAAAAGTGCCGAAGGGATCAAGCTGAATCATATATTGAAATAGCTTGCTCTCAGGAAGTATATTATTGGCTGCTTCTTTAACAAGAGTACCATCGACGAAGTAACTCCAAATATATCTGAAATAGAGGAGTTTCTATAGGGTTTTAGCAACCGATCATACTTGTCGTCACTGTTGTACTCTGGACTACGCAAGCAAATCTGAAAGCTCACAATGAATGAAAAATCATCAAGTGCCAACTTACTTGATGCCAAACTAAGGTAGTAATCGATTGAGCAATGAATCTTTCTCTGTCAAGCAATACACCTTGGTTGTCAATTTGAATAGCATACTGCGAGCTACAAGAAAACGAGACTCTCGATTGAAAACCTTCGAACTTACGGATTAGTGTTAGTAGCGATCGCGACGAATGGAGGCAAGTAATCTGTAGATTTACTCATTTTCGTCGGTGCGTACTGTACCCATCCACATAACGTAAACTCTCTGATACAAACATAGGATTGAGAAAACAAATTAGTGAACCTGTAGAGAGATGTGTTGAGCATACGGGATACAATCGGCTGTGTGGACTTCAAACTATTGAAGACCAGATTGAACGATGTTGAAACGTCTAAAGAGTGTTATTAAATAAGAAGATTATAGAATCGTACCTGTCTGACAATACTCTCCAGTGAACTGATCAGGACAAATACAGAAAGCAGTGTTATTCTGAGTTACACAGCGACCTCCGTTTTCGCATTCAATACGATCACAAGTAGCCTAAAATGAAAATGAGTTGTCAGTTTCTAAGTTCACTAAGAGTGAGTTAGTTGACTTTTGTTATATCACAATGATCTCCAGAGTATCCATCATCACAAGAACACTTGGGTGAGTTATCTATTATGTCACATTTACCATGCAAGCATGCTATTTGATCGCAAGGGTTCTAAGGTATCAAGTAATAGTATTAGTATATAATGGATTAGCTCACAAACTGAGTCTCACAATGGATTCCTGTGTAATTGGCGGAACATTGGCAGTATCCTTGAGGGTTATTATCAGAGTATAAACACTTGCCATGCTCGCACTGCCAGCTCACACACGGATTCTTAAAACGTTAGTACGGATGAACAGTATTAGAATCGGACGAACTATAGGTGTATCACAGAACTGTCCAGTGTACCCAGTAAAACAGTCACACTTGAAGTCATCATCAGCAGTAATCAGACAGGTGCCGTTGTTGCAGTTAACATTTTGACAAGTTTCCTATGGTGTTAATATGTTAAGAACATTATTATTATCATCAAAATGGAATTAGCTATTGAGAAACTGAAACTAACCACTGCTGTTTCACAATGTTCTCCGGAAAAGCCTTCTTTACAGACACATACAGGATTTAACTGATCATCTAAGTTACAATGTCCTCCATTCGCACATAAGTAATCTGAGCATTTGTCAATTTCACAATTCATACCGTATATCCCTGAAAACGAATGTGAGATTCATACAACTGATTATGGATTGGTACCTGTTGGACATTTACAAGAATAGCCTTCGCCATTCTTTTCCTGACAAGTACCACCATTATGACATGGATTGAAAGGACAATACTCAATCAGCACGGAACATTTCAAATCAGGACCGATATGATAGTTTTCGAAACATTCACAGATGTAGTCGTTGGGTAGCACATCGATGCAAGTTCCGTTTGCGCACAGATTGGTGGTACAAACTGATGGAGGGATGTTACAATAAGTACCTGAATAAAGAATAAAATGTAAAATCTCGCCTTCCTACCAGAATAGTTGTCAATGCAATCGCATGTATATTGAGCATTCTCATCTAAGTTACAGTGTCCTTTGTAACATGGGTTATGATCAGATGAACAAATAGTTTCCTCTTGTTTCTAATGAATTCAAAATGATTGTTTATAGAGAAAAAGACGATCAAGTACCTCGCAGTGGTCCCCCGAGTAACCTGGTTCACACTTACAGAAAAAGCCATTAACATAGGTTTGACAAGTGCCATGATGCGAACAAGCAATTTGATCACAATTGTGCATGTAAGTCAGATATTGACATTGATCTCCAAACCATTCGTCTGTGCACTTACAATGAGCACTAGCTATGATCGCTTTGTCGTCTAAGAAAAACAAGTTCATGCTTTCAAGAGAGTGAGACTCTTACCTATGACACACGTGCCTCCGTTTTCACATAGAAAATCGTTAGTGGCATAATCATCAAAACATACTGTGGTAACTCCACACGTTTGACCAATATACCCTTAATTGGAGATCGAAATTCTATCTCAATAAGAAATCTCACCTGGATTGCAGAAACACGCAGGGTTTGAACTGAAATCCATGAAACAAATACCTTGCTGTGCAACACATGGGCATGGCAAGGACGTTGGAAGAGCTTCGTTACACAACGTTAATTGTCTTCCTGTTATAACCACACAAGTTGAAACAACGGTATCTAAAAAGAAGTTGGAATAGCAGCCAAGCTTGGATTCAATACCGTCGCCGAACTTGATCAGAGGAACACAATTTCCATTTATGGTGCCGTTGGGAGCACAGTCACCCGTACTGTCCACCTGGAGATGAGAACAGACATCGTTATAGAATCCTTAATAACCACATATCCAAGTTGAACATACTCATAACGAACCATCTTTACATTCACAATTGCCATAGCTGTTCATTTTCTCCGTACCCTTCGAGGAACAAAACGAATACTTCCTCTCATCTGGAGCACATTTAGCCTCTGTTTGGTTCAAGTAGAATCCTATAATACAAGTGATGTTATTAAGAAACCTTTTGAGAGAACAAACCTTCGTAGCATTCACAGATATATCCTCCAGGTTGGTTGATACAAGTACCCCAAGGACAAGAGTTAATCTGACAAGATAGGGGAGGCGGCGTAGGTGTTGCGAAGTCGTCCCAATCAGAAGCTTCGTCATCCTCCCCACCTGAAACACACTAATTGATTTAAAATGTAACAGTTTCACGAACATGTATTAGAAAAATGCCAGCCTTGTGAAGTACAAGAGGCAGAAAGAGACCCGAAACTAGCATTTGGACAAGGAACACTGTAAGGACGATCATTCGATCCATAGTACTGTTTTGGTAATGTTATGCCTCTGAGCTCAACCTAAAATGAAATCTGAAACAGCATTTTACGGATTGCTTACAGTTGAGCAGAGTGTGTATACAATTGACAAAGAGCTCAAACGAGCTGACTCTGATACTCTAATTGAAATTGAAATGAATGTCTCTAAGTTATCTAAAGGCAGAGTCAAAGATCCAGCAGAGCTTGTAGAACCAATCAAGGTGTACTGCGTAAACATAGGGTCTTTCGGAACATCAGAAGTATGCATAACTGTAACATATCAGTTGTGACTTTGTCCGAACTTCAATGAAACTCACAAACATGAACTGAACCTATCAAGTAAGGAATTTCGAGAACCAATTTCACTGAGTCACTCAATAGTGCAACAGGCATAGAACTCAAGAACCTGTTGACATCATTTAATTCATAGATATAACGTTCCCAAAATGCCTACGTGAAAGCAGCAGCTGATGTTACGAAGTACATGTTACTTCCTTGATCATACCGCCACTACAACAATTCGCATATATAAGAAAAACATTATAGAACTCACATCTCTTGAGTATGTCCAAATGATAGAAGGATTGAACAAATCGATTACTGGTAATATTGAATTTATAAAAATTATTTCTTGAACTCATCTCACCTTGCATGGATGTGCGTTGTTTCTTACATCTGATCTGACCAGACCATAATGGACTTTCTCCATCATCTGAAAATTGACGAAGTGTTTTCTTTAAACTTGATTAAACTACATACTCATCACACATGTAAGCATGTTAGGAAGGCATGATTGATCATCGAACGTGATTGTTAGAGTAGCATCGACTGCGAATGGATCTGCACTGTTCGAAGAGACGAAGGTCCATCCGCCGTCTCTGGCAATTTCTGTCAGGTTAGGACAACGATAATCTTAACGAATTGATTATGAAAAAGCTTGTAACACTGAAACGAACGAGCACAGAAAGGATACAATCTCAAGCTTTCATCATATCCGCAGAATAATTTACCCGATCCAATCGTTAATGTCTTAGAGGCACACACTACACTGATCGACTCAAAGAAATCCGTTTCATACATTTGGCTAGTGTACATATCGAGATCTTTGACTGTACACGAAGCTACAACATAGAATTAGAATGAGCGAATAATGTTATGAAGGTATACAATTGCAAGGAAATGGTGGTGCATTCCAAATTCCTAATAGACATGTGTAAACGTTCTGAACGTAAACAGTTCTTCCAAACTCATCTATGTTCGTACAATAAACAGTGTACGTCTCTTGATCCCTGGATAACCAATCTCTTATATACTCAGAAATATTGAAGAACTTACATATAAAACTTCTTTGCTTCATCAAAGTAAGAATAATCGGTCATAGCAAGATCCTTTATATAGCAAAGCTGATCTGAAAAGACAGTAATATGAAAGGAGATATCAATTATGAAACATACATAAGCACGAATAGCCTGGAATTGCTTCGACTACATAGTCTAAGGTTTCTCCTTTATATAAATACTTTCCTTCCGGACAAACACAATGATAACCACCAACTGTGTTCACACATGTAGCATCTGGATCACATAGATTCAGGTATGAACTAGCGCACTCATCGATATCTGTTCAAAATACTATTACTAGTGGGAAGGATATGTAGACTATACCTATACAACTAGGAAATGGTCTCTCAGACAAGATATAGCCGGCAGAACAGTTACAGGTGTATCCACCATTAAGCTGAACAACATTTCCATTTCCACAAGAATGAATATCTTCTGTATTGTCTGAATGTATTGATATGAGTAATTAGTTAATTATCATTGGATTATTACTACTGCAAGTGACGTGAGTGTTTGATAATAATCCGTTTTCACATGTAACTGAATCATGATTTGTAAAACCATTGACACAGATAATATTCGAAGCGTCTCCATAGTTTATCAGGGTTTTATTGAAATATCCATAATCAAGATAGAACGTTTGGCAACTGATTGCTAAACATTATACTAATGAGCTAATTGAGTTGTCATGATGGTCTCACCTTTGAATACAAAACCGACATCTTTCCAAACTCCTTTGGTTAGATCCTTATCATCAAGAATGCAATATCTTAAAATACATTGTATATAGATATAATGAGAACTGATTGTACCTCCGAGCAAGACTTGGAAAGAATTCGTCTTCAGGCTGAGGATTATACAAAGCAAAACTTCCATAATCAGTCCCTAATGTTGTGTTGACCAATTGAGCATTTCTGTAGAGTGTAGGAGTGTCAGGACAATGAACTTCTGAAACAAATGATGAATCATTTGTTGTTTCAGCAGCAAGATAAACTTAAACACAAAGGTTCCGGCTGCCAAACACCAGTCGCAGAGCATTGTAATGTTGTTGCGGTTTTTGCATAATAGCCTTCTTTGCATGCATATTTCAATGTTGAAACTGATGTTTCAATTATGAAACCATTCATAATTATTGGAAGAGAACAGTTGCTATACTTGTCTGAGAGAAATAATGTTATGAAAAGAGGAGAAGGAGCCTTACCAGTACAAAAGGCTGGCATGTTCGACCAACGACCTGCCATCATGCAGAATATCTCAGATGATCCAATTAAATTCTGGCTCGCAGGACATGTAAACTGTACACAAGAACCAAGAGCACTAAGTCTACTGGTTTTCATAGCATTGGTAGAAATATCGGGACAATCTGTCAAATTTGATAGGAAAAAACCATTAGCGTTAACTCACCCACAGAAAATTTTATGCTCAGGCTAAACTTCGTGGAAGCTTGTTGAATATCTAAGCTTGTCAGTCCCATTCCGCGATAGGAAGTCATTCCAGATGATATAATCGTTGTTATGTCATTTCCTGTGGTCAACTTAAAATATAAAATTAGTATCATGAAATAAGCTATTGTATACTATGATGTTATCATTCCAGCCAGACTGTACGTTATCCACACTCCATGTATAAGTTGAAGTAGTGTCCATGTACACGTTAAGTTTATGAGGAGCTAGCTCACCATTGGTAGAAGGCCAATGCAGAGTTAATCCTTTCGCAGGTATGCGGATCTGCGAAATATCTGGAACAAACCATATGATCACATTTTCCCTTAAAGAACGAAACCGTTGCTTATGTAGAAAATTCGAAACTGGCAAACAGTCGATAAAACCTGTCCGTCACGCCAAGAGTCGCGAATACTTAAAGAAGCTGCTGCACCAGGGAGCACAACAGATTGAGAATGATTTGAAGACGTGAAAAGGAAGGTATTCTTCGTTGAGGAAGAAATAGAGGCTAAGGCTTTTTCACTGAGCATTATACTATCTGCCTACAAGCACATACATCATCACCATTTCAAATATGCTAAACTCACTATAATATAAACGAAATGGCTAATATCCGGCGCATTGAATCTGTACTCGCAATCATATGGTGTTCTTCGAGAATCGTACACCACTTGTTCGCCATCGAATGAGCATGGTGATGGTTCTGAATAAGAAGCAATGAAAAGTAAGTAAAATAAAATATGTCTTACCAAAAGCATGATATTTCAGTTTGAAACCTTTAGTAATACTATCTCGCGAAGAGACTTGGAAACGAATGAGAAGTTTTCGGCTACCCGTCCTGTAGGATAATGGAGATCGCGAAGTTTTAATATCGAACAGCATTTGCTTATTATCCCAATCTTCAATAAGTAATCGATCGCCTGAGCCCAATATAATTTCATCTGACTGCAAGAGCTTCGGTTGAGTTCAGTTACGAAAGGTACAAACCGTTAGAACAATAGTATATCCGCTCTTTGGTTGAACAACCCATGTACAGTTCAGATTAGATCCATACGATGAAGGAAAATTAGGAGAGAATATTTCTCCTTGTAATGCTGTAAGCATCATTGGGCCACAATCATTATCATGAACAAATTTCTAAGAGAAACTATGATGTATACTACAACTGGAACTTACTTTCTCCATTAAAGTGTTCAACTCATCGGAATTGTCTGGACAATCAGTAATACCATCGTGTCGTGCTTTCGCAGGAATGCAGCGGGAATTGTCTCGGCATCGAAACTCATCTGCAGAATTGATATGTTTGAATTGAAATAGCAATTTACCAGTGCGACAAGCAAATGTTTGGCAGAGAACTGAGAGCGGGCTCGAACAGTTTTGCATCAACCATCCAAAAGTATTATCATCGATAACGTTCAAAGCAACACATAAGTTTGGTGAATAACTGAAAAACTTCATGATATGCCATTTGAAAATCCAAAAGAACGACGTTACTTCGGAGGAGGTTGGCCTGCAGCCCATAGAGGATTGTATATCGTACGGTTTTCATACAAAGAACGAACAGATAGTGTATGATCATTGATAACAACGAAACCTAGAAGTAGATCATAAAGAAGTAGTTACTTTGTAATCACTTTCACACATATTATTTGATGTTCTGAGAGCAAACACTCATAACTCTAAATTACCTGTCCAATACAGAGTTGCAGGGACCGTTCTCCTTAAAAGCCGAGCCAACAGCCAGTTATCTAATGTCGTAACTTCAGAGTAGGAACGTCTACAACATATGACAATGAATAGGAAACAGGAAAAAGAGAAGGAAAAACTAACTCTGAGTCTAAGCAGTATTGCTGCGATGAACTCCATCCTAATTTATAATCATCACTTGAATAAATACACGAAGTTCCTAGTACTTGCCAATCTGCAAACAAGTAAACAAGTAACAGATATACCAAATTTGGATAATGATTTGAGCAACCGGTTATCACAGATCCAACTGGTGAAATGATATTCACGCGCAATAGTAATACGTGATATTCTAATTAATCGCGAGTCCGCGTCTTTTTTTTCAAATTCCGATAATCAATTATCGATTATGTGCACGGGATATGTTAATTAGTTACGATTTGCAGCACGAGTGCTGTTTCTAACAACACAAGCACTGAGCAAACAAAAGGAAAAAACAACTATGACCACAATCGGGATTCGGAAAGATTTCATTTTCTCTAAAGTTCTAACAAGGCTTTTCTTGTTTTGTTCTTCTAATCTCAAACTACTGAATGACAAAGGGCGTTCTATCCATCTGTCAATTGGTTTTGAATGTGAAACACACCTGAACCTAATCCTTCACATGTGAAGTCTATGTTGTTTCCGAGTGAGTACGGGAATGCATAAGAAGAAGTCGCTACATCTAACCTATATAAGAGCAGGAAAACTGCAAGGGCTGCCACCCGCATAGGTGGAAGACAAAACTTCTACAAGTTTTTGTAAAAACTTGTAGACCAAAGTAAGCTGTAAAAGATGATGAGATGAGAGAGAAGAAAAGTGCGATGTAAAGAAGAGAAAACATGAATAGCAGACTGTTGAAACAACATGCTAAGCAATTGATAAACTTCTTATCTTCAGATGTTAATCAATCAATCATGCACATCTCATCTTCTGGTCAATACAAAGCGAGAATTAACTTTAAAATTAACCATGGAAATATGATTAAAACAGGCTTTGAAAAGAGCATAGCCTAACAGATGATAAGTCATGTAGTCTTGCGAAAGTCATCCATCGTACAAGAGCTTCTCAAACAGTCGATTGTCCGACCTCCCTCATCTTGAACTTCTTCAACTCGTCATTGGGATTCTGCTGGACAGCGAACAAACAATAATAATTGGTTTGAATTTTCATTAAACTGTGATGAGACATTCGGATAACAATTGGAAAAAACATCTCCAAAAAGCATACTTAAAACCTTCAAAGAATAATCATGAATAACAGGAAATATGCTTAACAGAACAAAAAAAAGCGAATTTGCAACTTAAGGAGCGCAACGACCAATGAAACGAGGATATAAACAAACATCCCTAATGTGATGTGTTCCCGTTATCCAACAGATGAAACGTTCCAAACCCAATCCGTATCCACCATGAGGCACTGATCCGTACTTTCTTTGATCAACATACCTGGAAAAAATGAGCTAGATGACTAAACTGTTCAAACAAGTCATACCAGTAATAATGCTTTGAATCAATTTCTGCTCTCTTGAAAGCTTCCTCTAACTCTTTCAAATCCCAAATACGCATCGATCCTCCAACGATTTCTCCAACTCCTACAATATAATTGAAAATAGTTCACACAGCCAATTCAGATGTCTTTACCAGGCATTAACAAGTCAACGGACTCAGTCAAGTTGTCTCCTGTGCGCGACATGTAGAAGGCCTTGATTCCTGCTGGGAATTTGTTCAACAAGATAGGCTGCAAATAATTGAACATACAACTCCAGACGACCTTAAACACTTACAACTCCAATGGTATCAGTCATTTTTCGTTCAGCAGCCTCAGCAATATCTTCCCCGAATACGAATTTTTCTCCGTGCTCGTTTCTAACATCATTTGCTTGTAACCACTCAATGGCCTCCTTGTACTCCATACGACGGAATGGGCGTTTTGGTGGTTGGAAGTCCTAGAAGAGTTAACATAGTGCAAAACTTGATAATTTGACTTACGGGGTTAATACCATGAAGTATTTCTCTACTAACAGGGTCATTCATGATATGATCTACAGTATCACAAACCAACTCTTCGATTCTGTCCATCAATTGATCGAAGTTGATGAAGGGACATTCAGCTTCTACATGAGAATATTCAGCCAAATGACGACGAGTTCTGGACTTCTCAGCTCTGAATGAAAAGTTTATAATGTCGAAAATTAGAAAAACTACAGTACCTGTAGGATTGGGCAATACAATAAACATCTCCTAAAGCGGCGGTACAAGTTTCGAGATAAAGCTGAGAGGATTGGGTGAGATAAGCAGGTTCACCGAAATATTCAAGACCGAAAAGAGTAGAACCTCCTTCGACCTAAACTCCGTATTGAATAGTGAAATGAAAACAGGAAGCAAACCTGAGTTTGAACTAAAGTTGGAGGACTGACTTCAGTATATCCAGCTTTGTAGAAATGCTCGCGCATGGCTCTGGTAATGAGAGCACGGATACGCAGAGTACGAGAAGCATTATCACCACGGATAACCAAGTGTCTAGATGGAGGTAATAACAAAGAGCGAAAAAAAGAACACACCTGTTATCTAAGAGAATATCAACACCAGCTTCTTCGTTCAATACGTTGTCGATTCCACCGGGAGGAGCTCCACTGATCAACTAAATATATGGAAATGTACGACTCCACTGCAAAGCTTGGCTTATACCTCCCAGTAATCCACAATCAATTCGTGTCCTCCTTCGGCTATTTTGCCTTCTGGAACAGCCTTGAGTGTTCCGAAAACGGATACGGAACTTTCTGTGGTAAGAGTAACAGCGTTGTAACATTTGCACTGAAGATCAGATAAATATGCTTTTATGATCGAGAATTTCTTACCAAATCTTCGACGAGAACGCATTGTAAGAAACCGGTTCCATCTCTAAGTACCCAGAACATGAGAGTTTTTCCTAAAGAACAGGCGATGAGAAGATATCAGTGGAGATATGAGTGAACCTTGTCTTCTGAGCCGATGAACCCAGGCCTTAATATGAACTCTCTTATCTCTGTAGTCTTTAAGATCTCCTATGCGTACAAGATGCTCTGGTACCGAGTCGTAGGAAATTTTGATCTGCAGATACATTGCCATTAAGACTTCGTCGAGCATGTCCTACCTTCTTGGCGGCTTCTAAAGCGGCGTTGAGAGCATCAGCGTTCTCAGATTCACGAGCAGAAGATTTCTCAGCTTTCTTCTTCTCAGCTTCATATCTAAGAACGAGTTATAAGCTAATTATCAGTACAGAGCTCTACTTCTTCAAGTTCTTCTTGATAGCAGCTTTTGCGGCAGGCTCCCAGTCAAAGGTGCCATCCTCCAACTTGATTTTTGAGAGGTATTCGCCTTTGTTATCAGATAAGAGCATGGCTTTCCAAAGAGAAGCTAGAGGCTTGTCAGCAGTTCCGACATTTTCGTCCGAGCCCGTTTCGGCACAAACGTAATATTTCTGAGCCATGATTACCTGAAGAAAAAATTGAGATAAACTAGCTTGAGGAGAGTCGAATAAGACCAAGAAAAGTAAAAAACATAAAATAAATAGTAAAAATGCTTCTCGTATTGAAAACTGTAAAACTACAACTTATAAGGGGAAATGTGTCCCAATTCTGCATCATTCTTCCAAACTGCCATCAGATTGTGCAATTCGAGTACGCAAGCAAACAACGCGAAATTGCGGAAAAAAAACAAAATTTTCGAGATGACACATATGGAATACTAGTTACAAATAAACAACAATACTCTCTTTGCAATCATCGATTTATTGCTAAATATGTATAACTTTGTTGAAAATGACACATTTTTCTGATTAAACTAATAGAATTTCACTTACGAACGAATCGAAAAGACTTGGAAATACCTGATTTTCACGAAAAAAAGTTAAAAACAACTGTTCGAGAGGACATCGTTTGGAAAGAAAAAGGTAAAACTATACAAAAGACAAAGACAGTATTTCTTACGTCGTAGGAGTAAGTACATACATGCATTTTTACAAAGATTTGAGTAAATATTCCTATAAACATGCAACCATCCGCTCCAACTCCTCGATGTCGTTTCTCTTGGCCACTTCACGAAGTTTCTCCAAATTGGATGGATCGACGCATCGATTTGCCATCAACTTGTTACTGGCCTCGAATGCTTCACGCACAACCTAGAATTTCGATTTTATTGCTTCGATCGAGAAATGAGAGATATACATGGTCAGATATTCCTGCTAACTTGGCTGCGTAGAAACCGTAAGACTTTGGACAAATTCCAGAAGCAAGCTGATATAAGAAAGTCACACACTCCTCGGTTGGATCAGTTTCGTTCTCATTCTCCACCATACAAGCCTGGACTCAGAAAGTATAACAAAACATGATTAAAAAATTGAAAACCATATGAGCAAACAGAATGTCCTTGTTGTTTGCGAAAGTTTTGCAGATAGAATGATAGTGAGTAGAGAAGAAAGTTCTACATTTGATTCTTGAAGTAATATCACTCAGAACAGCCGAAGCTATGGCAGTTCCATCGTAGGTGCTGAAGTAGAGTTGCTATCGAGACTTTGAGAATAAAAAAAACCTTGTTCCTCTTCCCAACTCATCAATGAGAACTAATGAGTGCTTAGTAGCATCTCTCAAAATGATTTGGGTTTCGTTTAATTCAACGAAGAATGTAGATTGCCCTGTAATTCACTCAGACATAAGGCATAGGCATAGATGTACTCCTTACCACAAACAGTTCGATCGTTTGCTCCGATTCGAGTGAAAATTCTATCGACTAAGGTAAGCTTCATCGAACTCGCAGGTACCATGCAACCCTGAGGGTGTTAATGAATTATAAATGAAATCACACATATACAAACTATGTGAGCCATCACAGACAAAACAGCGACTTGTCTCATTAAAGTAGATTTACCACCCATATTTGGACCCGTGAGAAGCAGAGCTGAAGGTGTTTCGCCACCCATTACCGTATCGTTGGCTAAAACGAATAATGAAGCTGATTAGCTCTGTCATTCATACCAATAAATGACGAAGTGGTTGTAGCATCATTCTTAGGTAGTGAGGTGGCCAAACAAGGATGACTTCCAGCAGTTATGTTAAGATAAGGCTGAACAGAAATTTATAGCTTGTAGATAAGATATGTGACTGCACCTCGGGGCTCTCAAAGTCAAACTCAGGCATACACATTTCAAGCCCACTAGACTGCGAGTAACGCGCCAGACACAAGAGAACATCGAAAGTGGCAATTCCTTGAACGATCCAACTCCAAACTTCTGATCTGAACGGGACCCACGTTGAAAATAGCAATGGGATATGTACAAAACCGATTGTCGAACTCAGCGAAGACCTTTCTAGTGGCATCAGCAGCTTGTTTCGCTTGCTCAGCTTCCGCTTCTACTAAAACGCTGATAAGCTCTTCAAGATCAGGAGTATGATAACGACCAACGCCCTGAGGATAAGAATAGCCTTCAGTTAACTATATTAATATATACTACTAAACCTTCTTCTTTGATTTCAGTTCATACTGATCTGATAACCTAATCGAGTCGGGAATTTCCATTTGATATCTGTTCTTTCCCGAAGTGAAGAAGGAGATCTGAGAACGACTAATTCATCAGACAAATTCGAACTTCAAGACCTTGCACTTCAGAGATTTCTCTTGTTTCTTACGGAACTCATCAAGGCTGGCCTTCGCTTCTTCAACAGCTGCAACGCTCTGGTCGAATTCAGCATCTCTTCCTGCCTGTGGTTCGATGGAACCGGATTCTTGAGCTACTTTATGGTTGAACAAAGTCTAAATTATTATATTAGATAGAGATGCCAAATGAAAACTACATTGAAGTAATTCAAGTTCTCTCGAAGTTTTTCATTTTTCTCTTTCACACCGAATAGCTGTTCCAACAAAGTTTCCCTGAAAAATGGTGAAGAGTTGAACTCATTGTTAACTAACTTGTTGTCAGGATCGGAAGATTCATAAATGGTCAAAACCTTCATGCAAGACTTGAAGCCCTCCAGAGTTGCCAAGAGGTCTCTGATTTTTCTTTTATTGTATCTAATAGCGTCGAACATAACGGCACGACTGTCAGGATGTTCTTGTGCACGATACTTCAATCCCAGAGTATGGATTCTAAACCAAACATAAACCTGTGAAAGTCTTATCAACAAACTTTTGAGATAGTCTTTCGAGATCGGGCATCCCTTTCATGGCTTCGAGGGCAGAACGCGAAAAGTTAGCAGAATCCAGAGAGGCAAGCCATGATACAGTCTTTTGACGAACTTTCAGGACATCTGGATCGCAAGATGGAGAGCAGATCCATTGACGTAGGAGTCTTTTTCCTATATATTAATATATTTCGGAATAGTGGCATGAAATATACCAAAAGGAGTACAGCATTTGTTAAGAATGGTGTATAGAGATAAGCTGTCGGCTTGAGCATCTCCGCAAGGAATGAGATTCAAGTTTTCCAAAGTGATTCCATCTAGTACCATCACCCTGTTTTTCCATTCAACCTCTTTTTGGGTTTTCTGAATAAATAGTTTGTGAAGACTCAAGTATGACAAAACAAACCTTCATAATATTAGGATGATAGATGTTGAACTGTTTCATTGTGACAACATCTACATCAATCAAACATCGACTCAGATATCTGTAGAAAGGAAGGATCAGGTTAACTAGACACCTGCCTGGTACGTCTCACCCAATCACAGCACCAAGAGATGACAAAGCCAATGAGAATTCGCTGTCAGCACGAGGTACTGCGGAATTAGAATCCAACATATTCTTTAATGTTTTTGGCCACTCTGAGGAGGATGCTCCCAGATAGACATCTTTTGCCAACTAAGTAGACAAGACTTAGCTCAATGAAGATACATGCTTTCTTACCAATCTTACAGTGTCTTCCGCAGTGTAGAACTGCTTCTTAGCATTGAGAGTTTCTTTAGGAACAGATGACAGCATGTTCTTCAGAATTGAATCTGTATGAGATGAGATGTTGCCTCTCTCAAGTAAGACCTTAGAAACGAAAAACAGTTTCATAAAAATAGTTTCTACTCACTTGAACTGGAACATAATTCGCCAACATTGTGCGAAGCTGAGAGCGGAACTCATCGTCTTCAAATTGACCAATCCAAAAGCTTCCGATAGAGGTATCAATGAAGCAAACTCCATACCGACATGATGTGGTTGAAGACTTAACAAAATATGTAAACATGACTTAGCAGCATTCTAACCTCTTCCTTGAGAGCTAAGAGATATTTCTCCCCACTGTCAAACTGTTCGACTCCTCCATCACTTCCGTCCAATACTCCATAAGTACGAGTTCCCAAAGTAGTCAGACGACATAGTTCTCTTTACCAAAACTTCATTAAGTCAATGATGTCATATTACATACCTTCTGACGACTTTATCCTTAGTACCTCCTTTTTTGGCGTTTCTCTCTTCCAATTGGGCAGGTGTTTCAGTTTGTTCAACACGAGCGACTTTATAGCCGCGAGAAACGAGTTGATCGGCAAACTTTCCATACGCCATTTCGGGGAAACCGCAATGTGCATAATTACCCTGAAGTCTCAACAGTATATCACATTAGAAACAGCTTTCAGTACTCTCATGTAAGACAAACCAAGACAAGTGACACCAATCACGGCATCCATATGATACAACTCGTAAAACTTTCCGACTTTGAAGAACAGAACAGTGTCGTAGTAGTTAGCTTTTAGCGACCACCATTGCTTATGTCCTGGAGTTTGTTGCTTCAAGAAGTCTGGTGGAACATAAAGTGTTGTAGGATCATATTCTGGATCAGTAGAAAGTCTTGCGTTGATGTCCTTGACTTTCTCAGGCTGAAAGATACTGCATTGTTTAAATATAACAGTCGACCCACCTTCAACCAGACGAAGTTTTCATGCTCATACTTGTTTTCTTCTAAATTACATTCTGCAGTTTTGATTTTATCCTTAGCATCTACTTTATAAATAGTTCTATCAAGCGTTGCAGTGCTGTCATCCTAGAGAACAAAGAGCAATATACTTCTAGACACCAACATACCAAGCTCTCATTCACTTTAAACGAGTTGATGAAAGACTCAGCAATCTTCACCGAGAGCGGAGTGCGTGGAGGAATTAGTTTCTTAAAGTTAGTAGAGGGAGTGGATGGGGGTGCAGATGCTTCAGGTGACTCTTCGCGGTTTGCCTGAAGTCGATCATATGAGCCATGCACTCTCTAAACGTCACGTACTCCTAACTTGGGATCATCTTCTTCCATATTATCTTCTTCATCGGAGGATATTACTACTCTTCTTCTCTTGACACTACTTTGAACTGGAGAATCATCAGTATCGTCCATGTTAATTCGTCGATCATTCTCTTTACCCTCTAAATTCACCCTGTTTACACATCAAGAATGAGCAACAATACCTCTAGATTTCTTTTCTGTTAATTCTTTATTTCTGAGAGGTTCGCGTTTGGGTGTTGTTGGTGTTTTAGGCGTAGATGACCCTTTGAAGAAACTCAGAAGATTGCTTTGTTTGGACATTTTGAGTTCCTATAACTCGGAATATTAATGGCTTCTCTTCCAATTTAAATCAAAACAATATTAAAGCTTGCGAAGGTTTGATAAACAAATATTGAAGCTTCAATAGCAGAAACCTAATTTCATATTTCGACTTTGAAAGTTTAAACGCATGCATTTCCCGCATACTTTATCAGAACGCAATCTGCGTATATTTCAACTACCGTATAGACAATAATACAGTGCACAGTAAAAGGCTTTTTTTTGTATAAAATGATTGGAAGCATAAAATTAATCTCATTTCCGTCTCGTACTCGAGATTTGCATAACTCGGGTTTACGTGAATATATCCACGTGTGCAGCTGCCAGTAAGGCTCATTTTAGTGTATTAGTCGACGTGGAGCGGTTGCATATCTCTCATTAGCATCGTTCAAGTTCTTATTCTTTTTCTATTCCTTATACCGATTCTCATATCTCTGAAATCTGTTTTTCATAAACAATCCAAGTGTGGGCTCTATGAAAACTAATTGTTTTGAATATGACATGTTATTGCTTTTTGAAATACGAATGAAACATTTAATAAATCCTAGAAACTAATAGTAAGGTCAAGCAAAGATAATCCCGATCCTTAAATGGAGTGCCGTCTGCCAGTTACAATCTTGCCAGCGCATAACAATTAGAGCATTCTAGAGATTATTAGGAAGAGCCCTAAATGAGTTAGAAGTCCTACGGAGACGAATGTTTCAGTTTAATAAAACATATTTTGAACTGCAGGCCAAATGAACGGAACGTAGCAGAATCGTAAGAGAAGTTTTTTCTTGGGCCCATCATCATTCATGGACTAAGTCGTATCTCTGGAACAAAACCAATATTTGGAATAAAAGATAATAATTCTGAGAAATTCATAGTGAAATGAAGTATTTGTTTTCAAAATTGAAAACTTTAATGAAGTTTTCTGTTTACGCACTACAAATGGAATAAGCAAAAGGAGATGCGAAAGATGGAAGAAACCTACGGCCTGCTGATTTGATAGCAACACTAACTTGCTCACTATAGAGTTGTGAACAGGCAGGTACTCCCCTCTGGAAAGAAATGATGAAAGAATGCATTCTTGAAGAACTGAACTAACATTTACACATAGATTCTTTATGAAAGCTCTCAGCTCAAATATGAATTTAATTATGTTCAACTTGTCCGTCTGAGCTTAGCATCTGAAAGTTAGTTGTGAGATTTGCATGGATTTATATTTCCATTCTATTTCTCTCTTATTTTCTTCATAATCTCTGACAGCCTCCATGAATGACATACTATTTTTTCGATGTAATTCTTTTAAGCTGAGAATCTGAGATATACGGTATGGGGGAGGAGCCCAAGAAGAGCCACAAATGAAGCGCACAGCTCGAAGCTTCACAGCTTCTTTCATTCTTCACCATATATTCCTACTATAATTAATTTTCTTTCTTCCTCATTTGTCCATCAAATCCAAACAAATGTTCATTTCTAAAATACGTAAGGAGTCCGCTAATGATGATGACGACTTACGTGGTGAAGATGAAGCCGAAGGCAGCCAGTTCCGTCAGTTCCAGGTGAGCTCTCCCTCCTAACCCATTCAATCCCCATGTATAGTTCGATGGCAATCGAGCCGATTTTCGAACTTTTTCTGGCTCTTACATTGGATATACAAACGCGGAAAATTATAATCCCGCTATGAATCAGCAACAACAGGCTCAGCCTCAACAGCCTCAACCGGCTCCACCACAACAACCTTTAAACCAAGTGAGTTGTCTAACCTGATGATCGGGAGAAGAGATCATTTCTTAAGGCTCATTGTGCTATTGTGCCCTTCTATACTTCTCGAATTGATTTCCCTCAACAAGTCAACAGCTTTATGAACCAGAATGAGCAAGACCAAGAAGTTGTTTTAAACTTTTGTTTTCTTATCCAACTTTTCGCTTCAGATCTTCCCATCAAAGATTGAAGGCATCGAGACTCGAAGTAAGTTCCTCCTTGAAATATGTCTGAAAATCGTTTTTTCCTGTAGTGATTCGTAAAATAGACATGCCTCTATTCTTTCTCAATGATTCCGCTTTCTGTAACCCATCAACCGTTGATCCACGTGAAGTAAGTGCGAACTTTTCAAATTTCAACTTTTTTCTTCTTGCCAGGTTTATTGTACAGTACCAGGTAGAACTTCCCTTCTTAGTAGCACTACCAAATATCGGGTGACTGTCGGAGAAATTCAGAGAAGAATTAGTCCTCCGGAATGTTTGAACGCTTCTTTACTGGGCGGTATTTTGAGAAAGTATGTAGACTGTCGTCCTAGCATAAGCAATTTCTCCTTTTAGGGCAAAATCCAAAGATGGCGGGAAAACTTTGAGAGATTCTCTAAAGAAAATAGGTTTAACTCTACCAGCAGGCCGACGAAAACAAGCGAATGTAACAGCTTTGACTGCTCTAGTTGAAGGTTTGGTGTCGTCGGAGAAATAGAAATAGAAAGGAATTACAGAAGAAGCCGTGCACATGGCCAAGGATTTTGCATTAGTTTGTGAAAAAGAGTTCCATGCTCGAGAGATCGGTGTATTCCTAACGAAAGCCAATCTGGCAGTAGAGCATGATGCTGTTAAGAGAAGGACAATCCTCGAGCACAGCAAGTACTCAGAATCCTTCTAGGATAGCACCATCTAATCACTGCTTTCAGAAAAGTTATAACCGAACTATGTGACTTGATAGCTGCCGATAGAACACCTTTGACACCATTCATACAAGTGCCCAGAGGAACTCCTTTACTAGATCCGGCAATACAGCAACATATCAGTCATTTCACATTGGTGAGTTCTGAACCGTGAACTCTTTGCAAATATGTGTACCCTTAGGTGACGCATGGATTTGGTGCAGTAGCAATGGTGGGAGTTCTACAGTCGATCAGAAATGTGATTGATGAGAGCTTAAAGTATATGGATAGGAACTGTCCGCCACAAATGTACATGAATTATAATTCTCGTTGAAACATAAATATTATGAATGAAAGATAGAAAGTCAGAGGAAAAGGAATTCATTGAATTTACAGTACAAAAGATGAGAACAAGTATTTACCACAAAAATATTCAATTCTTCCCGCTTCGAAAATAAATAAAACAGTTAAGTTATTACTTGGACTTTGTTTTTTCCTTGGTTTCCTTCTTGGTTTCTTCCTTCTTCTCTTCTTTCTTCTTATCTCCTTCACCTTCCTTTTCTCGTTCAACCTTTTGGAACACCAACTGGAATAGTTAGATTGAGTACTTTGAAGCATGAGACATGATTACCTTGTTGTCTATCAAGTTGTGCAGAGCTATGACTGACCGAACAAGAGATCCCATGTATACACACATCAATTGATCATTAGTTTGTACATTTTGAGCGACGACAAAGTCTGGGTGAGTTACGTCAGGCAGTAAATTTAAAACTTCCTGCAAAAGATGAATATGATTCTTTCTAATTGAATTAAAGATGAACCTGAATGTAATAAATAACTGGATGGTTTACAGGGAGTGTGCCTTCAGCCACTTCTTTCAAATACTTTTCGATATCTTCCAATTGGGATTGGAGACCTCTCAATCCGAGTAGCTGGTCAGTAACTCTCTGGGAAAGAGTTCCAGCGGTCTGATCTTTGATATCTCTATAGAATATTTCATGAACAATTCGAATTACACGGAATGAAAAACCTCAATAAATGCTCAACTCCAACTTCTTCGGCTTCTTCTGCTCCGATCTCACTGGGAACGTGTTCGAAGGTCTTGATTGGAGGGGTTCCATCCTGAAGCGCACCATATTAAGAAACATAACGAATAAGTTGTTTACATCATGAACTTCTTGAACTTCCAAATAAGCTTCGGTTGGAAGTCCAATATCCTTTGGCTCAGCCTCGATGATAACAAGAACTGGGTTTGGTGTGAAACGTTTCAATTGTTCGTTGATGGCAATATCGTTCTACAATTTGAACATTGGTCGTAAAAAAAAAATTCATGAAAATCTCACCTTATGAAGCTTTGGTCCAGTGTGATACCATCCAACAATTTTCTCTTTAGCAGCAACCTTGAACAAAAAGTAAAAATCAAAAGAGTACGAATCCAACATACCTTGTAGAACATAGTGTACATGCTCTCCAAGTAGTCCATGTCAAGGAACCAGGTATCCTTGTCTTTTTCATCTTCGTCGAAAGGAACTAAAAGTTGGAAACTTCAAAAAAAACCACGAGCAATAAAACATACCAGCGAAACTGTTTCCGATGTCCAAAACCTTTCCATTCTTCATGGAACCCAAAAGAACTCCGACAACTCTTTTGACACTTTGAGTTTTCTTGACTCTGTTGAAGTGATCAACAACACTCAAGAGTACCAAAGGATGAACGACTACCTACAAGCACAAGGAAATAAATTACGAAGATATAATCAACTACTTACTTTTTGAACTGGCAAATTAGCATGAGAGGTACTCATACAGTGGGGACCTGCCTTCTGCTTTAATGGCTCATTAGTTGCTGGGGGAACGGGAGTATTTGATTTTGGAGCCATTCTATGAAAAAACAAATTTGAATAATCGTAAGCTCTGTCGTAGCACTCAAATGGAACCCATGCAGTAATTAAAATTATAGAAAATTCAAAACGAATATATTTAAGTTATAAAGAGAAATTTGTAATCATTTGTTCAAATTCAAACGTGCTCCAATGCGATGGCGCTCGTGGTGAGACCAATTTTACAGAAAAAGGTAATCTACTTGTTCGCTCGTGGTAACCAGGACAATAACCGCTTCGCACTCATTGTTGAAGTAATTTTCTCTTATTTAAATTGTGTAATACACGATTTCAAGCATGGAGAGTGATGTTGAGCCAAAATACGATTCTGATTCCCCTTCTCTCGATATCATCGAACATGAGGATTTAGTTGAGGTTTGTATTTAATAGCTTTTGTAGTGTCAACAAAACAATTTTCTCGTTTTTTTTTCAGATCAGAAAGGGACGGAAAGCTGTATCCTCTGGTGAACCATCACTTGATGGTAGCATTGATGAGGAAAGGGGAGCTTTGTCGGATTCAGAAATTGGACATGCAGCTCGTTCTAATGTTAGTTTTATGAGTAATTCGTTTTTCTTACAATCACATGATTTCAGACCATCGCTGCCCAAGTTCGCGGACCCTCTTCTGATGCATTAGAAGAGTCTTGTAGAATCGAAGCTTCAGGAAGAGACAAGATTTCGGAATGGGAAGATATTCTGGGAAGTGGGAATTTGAAAAGGAAAGTGGTAATTCCTGGATCAACGGAGATTGAACGTCCTAAAGATGGTCATTGGGTCACCATTAGAGTAGGGATATCGGAATATGATATAATGAGCATTATTCGAATAGGTTAAAGACACATTGCGTGGAATGGATTCTCATGAAAGATTGAGATTCATCACTGGGTACTCAATGGTCATAGATGGTCAGTTACTCTTCACATATGCAACTCATGTTTCCATTTCAGCATGGGAGTTAGTAGTCAAATTGATGTATGTCGGAGAGCTGTGCGCAGTCAAAACCAATTCTCTACTAGCTTATGGTAAACTGGGTTTGGATGATAGAGTTCCACCTGACCAGGATCAGGAGTACACTGTAATTTTTCTGTTTCGTTGACGATTTGTTAAAATCTTGATACAGATCGAGCTTCTTGAAGTTGAAGACGGGCCAAATTTCGAGGAAATGAGCGAACGAGACTTGGAAAGATTTTTGATCATGCTCAAAGACCGTGGAAACTTCTTCTTCGGACGCTCCGAGTTTGACAAAGCCATCTTCGTGTACAAACGGTATCATTCCATTGGGCTCACCTTCCAACTAATTTCCTTGTAGTGCGTCCTCTATTCCTTTCAAAGATCAAGAAGATTTGAATATTTTGATGTCAACAATCCATTCCAATTTGGCTGTTTGCTACTACAAAGTAAGTGTTATTTTGTACTCGCATGTGCAACCGGTTCACGTCGTACTGAAAGAAAGAATGAAATCTTGAGGAATCAGTGTATACTTACATCGGTTTAACATTCTTCTGTCTTCCAGATTGGCGATTATGAGTCTGTAATCAGATCTGCAGATACATCGATCATGCTGGACGAATATAATACCAAAGCTTTATACAGAAAGGCAATAGCTCTTTCAGCTTTAAAGGAATTTGACGAAGCCCAAAAGTGGCTGAAACGGTCATTGGATATCGATCCTTCGCAATTGGTAATTGTAATTTCCATAGAAGTATATCTGAAAGAATGATTTAGGCGGTACAAAACGAATTGGAGAAAGTCAGTGGATTGAGAAATCGACGAAGACTCGATGAGAAACAATTGTATAAAAAAATGTTAAGTGGTGCAGGTGATGAGAATAAGAACAACAATATTGTTTATCGAAGCTGGGCTGCAGTGAATAAGGTTAGAGCTCTCGTGATTGTATTCTTCCTTTTTACGTTCTTGTGTTTCTTATACTTCTTGGCTCAAGTCTAGATGACATCCTGAACTTAGAATCGCTTTGATTATAGTAATCTAGAGGTAAAGCTATTTGATAGAAATTTAATCCCGATGACCCAAAGGGTAATCCTACCTATTCCAAATGTAAGCTTTGGTTATTTTCTCCGTTCTCATGTCTCATTCCTCGTCTTGTTTCTGAATCATAATCGTGTACCATTTCCTCTATGTAATTGGATTTTCATATCCGTTTTATGGCCATTTTTTAGAGAATAATAAAGATAATAAATTTTTTAAACTTTTTTCACATTTTCAAAACAATTACTCAAGTGCAGATTTTACATAAACATTATCTCGGATAGACACTATCCATCGCAAGGCTAGAAATCACGAGTCCCCGCCTACATCGCATATCTCACCTGCCTGGTTAGATCCTATGCTGCACCGGTCGCTCGGCCGGCTGACAACCTGGCTGGTCCATAGCATACAATACCTTCTATGAATAACGAGTTTTCAGTCGTCATCATGATGATGGTGGTAGTGCTGATTCAGGCTACTACAGACACTCAGGGCTTTCTCTGATCATTTTTACATTTCGATGACCTCATAATGCTTTCTATGAACTGACCTTCATTCAGTATTTACTTTCTCATGCTATTCACACATATACTCTTGAGGTTTTGCTTGAGACCCAGATATCCCTCTGGAAGTGTCCAGAGCTGTTCCTTTCTCAAATCACCAGCCTTCCTTATTCAGTTCCTGTATCAAAGAGGCAATTAAAGTATACCTTTCAGTCATTGACTCTCCAGTTGTCCTTATCTCCTCACTCACTTTTCATCATCTTCACTTTCTCAACAACCCTGAACAAAGAGAAAGTCATTTCGTACTTTTTTCCTTTTTTGGACTAATATCCACGCAAATTCCGTAAATGTACTGATTGTCTCTTGAGAACTCGCCAGATTTACTTGAGCTATTGTCCTCACTTTTGACGAAAAACGGAAATGGGAACACCGCTGAATGGCCAGACTCAGAGTTCACTCAGCACATGCTATTCCTTCAGTTTATGTACCGCTCTCATCTATATAACTTGCCCTCCATCCATTATAATACATGCTCTCCAATTTGTGTGTTCTATTACTTGACTCTAAATGATTTGAGGAGCAAAAAAACCATTTCCTGTTACAGCAAGATTACACCTACAGTCTTATGTTGATTCGTCTTTTCCATAGTTTGGCTCTTGTAGCCTGTAGTTCTATCCTAGTAGTACAGAGTTCTTCAGTATGCTCTGACATAAAGCCTCCAACCACTCTAAGTAGGTTCTTGAACTAATTTCCATAATATAACATGTCCAATTTGAGCTGCTGTTTCTGTTTGGGTTAAGCATTTGCCTGAAACGTCGTTGTTCCGCATATCCGATGAAGATCTTACCGATGAAGGATTCAGCAGGTGATATCCATCGTTACACCTTTCTATTAATATTCTGTAGAAGTGCTGCTGATCGTGACAGTTTCATTGTTATGCTCAGTCGACAGGCGGATGCATGTTCTCAAAGTAATTGTTCAATCAAGTTGCAACGAAACCGGAGATTGCGAGATGGTAAGTGTTCTCACTGCCAAAAAAACCGTTCTGAACTTCCGAGAATTGTAAATGAAACACTTTCTGTTTTTATTTCGAATTCATTGGCTTCGTGCCAAGATCCGCTACATCAAAATACGAACATACATGTGCTCATTCGCATGTTGGATAGATCGCGATCATTGTTTTTCTCGAAAGTTTTGATGTCTCAGATAATCCTTTATCATATTACCGTTTATCTTTGTTTTGTATGTCATAACGTTCAGGTGCGGAATTACAACAAGAGAATCCATTAGGGATCCCGATAGGATTTGAAACTCTCTCTGATGACTTCTACTGCGCTCGTTCTATCGGCGATTGTGGAGCAGAACTACCTATCTACAGATGGAGTCGTGGCAAGACGGACGACGTTAAAAGTCTGAAGATTCTAAAAACAATCCTCAACCTACTTTTTAAGTTTATGCCTATACTTTTGATCCCTCAGCTTCTATATCCGGCTATATCCGAGATGTGGTTCCTATTTGTTATGGATGGAGTGATGAAGGCTCGATTATCGGCTTTGGAAGTGGAAACTCAGTACTACAGAATAATACGAACATCTGTGCTCGTGTTGGTCCTGTACCAAACGCCAAGGTGAGCTTCAGCTGATCGTTTAAAATGGGGGCAAAATTCCATCAAACAACTGGCTTAACTATACATATAAAATGCTAAATCGGATTGAGTTGAGGTTGTGAGGAGGTTAAAAACTGTTTTTTTTTGACAAAAACATGTGGTCTCGTCACGCTTTCTTAATAGTTGTTCATCAATAGACTTATGCGGCCAGTTGGATATTAGCACATGATTGAACTCAAATTTTCGATTCTCAGTATTTTGAAGCAAAAAATGTGAATGAATCACGAGATTATGAGAATTATTTATGTCATTATTGTATTAAACATAGAGAAGTACATCTGTAATGAAAGAGAAACGAGGAAAGCTCATTTGCTTTGGAACAAAAAAAGGATTATGCGGTAACAGAATGTAATGTTCTCTTAATCCAACCTCTCACACTTCAAATCTCCCATGTTTGTCCTCTTTTCCACATGTAAAAAGTAAAACTAGTTCATCTTAAACACAAATCCCAGATACGTTTTATCCTGATGCTATAATTTAATTTTTTAAATCACAAAAAAAACTTTACAACTCACTGAGGATGAGTATCACTAGTAAACTTCAATGAGTTTCAGATCTCGTATTCAGTCACTGCTTCGGGACTGTATCCGATTGGCACGACAGCCATTTTACAATGTGCGACTGACTTCGCAGTGAGTGGTCAAACATCTTTAGTTTGTACTAAAGAGGGTTGGTACCCTATCACTGGATTAGGGGGTTGTATTGAAAGGAAAACTAAAGGTCAGAGCTGATATGAGCTTTTTGCTCTACGCTTGCTTCAGACACACATTCTATCGTATCCGGCAACACTGCAGCATCATCTAGCAGTGGCTCGTCTTGCTCTTCCCCTTCATCTATTGCCAATGGCAACATTGTTGCTTTTCCTGTAGCGAACAGTAAGATAATATAAACGATACATCAACGTCTTTCTCTTCAAGGAAGTACTGCTAACGTTCTATGCAGTTTCGGTTATATCCCTACATTCTTCGAAAGTATCCAATGCTTGGATGGAGAATGGCAGCTTCCGAACATCGATCGAGCCTTATGCATCAAAGCGTCAGAAGCCAAGTGTCTTCCACCTTTACCACCCATGAATGGACATGTTAACAGATACCTGAGTTCCGAAATGAAGAAATTTTTTCAGGTGAAGTATACATCGACTGACAAGAATCCATTTGCTCTCAACTCACAAGCGCAACTAATTTGTGAAACAGGCTACAACTTAGTTGGAAATGAGATGCTAACTTGTAAGGAATCAGGATGGTCTCCATCTGTTTTGGGAATGTGTCAATCGGTAATTAAAAAAGCAAAAAAAAATAAGAAAAACCTCGACTATCTGGTAAAGTTACATATGTCATTGATTTCCTTTTACAGAGTGCTAGATCAAAACGACAGGTATGTTTCATAGACGAGGGTGGAACATTAAGTTTACTAATCAGTTCAACTTACATACAATGCTTAAGTCTTTTCTAACTGTTTCGGGCATCTTTGGGTGTTAGATAGCTTCCCTCTATCCTCTTTCCAACTTCTTTTCTTTGCATCGTTTCTCCCCGAACACCATGCTTACAGGGCACAACGAGTCTTGGATGCATTGCAGCATCTACTTTGGGTGGAGCTGTTTCTTACATACAAACAAATCCTGCAGTCCCTTACTCAGCAGGAACAACAGCTCTTCTGTTTTGTGATGCAGGATCCAGGCTTGATGGAGCTTTCTCATCTATATGCACAAATGGACAGTGGACACCTGTTCTCGGTACATGCACTCCTGGAGGTATCTCATGCTGATATGCAAATCACAAGCGTTTGGCTTATTACAGGAGCAGGGCTACCTTTGAGCGATTCATTAAGCTCGGGAAATTCCGGCGCCACCTGTATGGATATGCTTACTCCCTTAAACGGAATTGTTACTCACTCCTTACCTATCTCGAGTTTGATCGTACACTCATAATCTATCTATTATTTGGATTACAGCTGGTGGTCGTCCATCCGGTACCGTTGCAACTTTATCCTGCAATATGGGATATACAGTGTCTGGCTCTCTAACGGCCAGTTGTACTAATGGAATTTGGTCTCCAACAAATCTGGGAACCTGTACACAAGGTATTATCAGAACAGAACAAAAAAACTGTGAATCTATCCCTTTAAGGTAATGGAAACAGTTTATTCCCATCCTTAGATTGTGCCACACCAGTAGTAACTAACGGTGTGGTGTCCTTCAGTAGAAATGGAGATACTACGGTACAAACCACAATTTCAATATACTTTTCATCATTATATTGAAGCTTGAAAAGCCTTCTGGAACAGTTGCAACAATTTCTTGTAACTTGGGATTTACAATTCAAGGCTTCCCTACATCTACATGCCAAGGTGGATTATGGTCTCCAACGATACCAACATGTACTACCACAACAGGTGTTATTCCTGGAATTGGTGAGTATGAATCATATCAATAACATCAATAGAAATAAACAGGTTCCCAAATGAGTCAATGCACAGCATTATTACCACCTCTTGGAGGTACTCTATCGTACTCTACTGGATCTATATTTGGTCCATATGCTTCTGGAACAACTGTCTCTCTCACATGCTCTAACCAGCAAGTGGTTTCAGGTATAGAGGAATTTATCAAAAATAGTCACGGAACTATCTACAGGAGCATCTTCTGCTGTGTGTCAGTCAGGAACATGGTCACCAGCTGCTCTTGGAACATGTAATTTAGGTAAATGACTTAATTCGAAACGCAAAGAAATATCCTTCCTTCAGGTGGGATAGGAGGAACTAACTGTCCTACTTTAATAACTCCTATGAACGGACTCATCACATATTCAACAGGAAGTGCCCTAGGACCTTTCACTAGGGGTACTACTGCTACACTCTCTTGTACAAATGGAGCTCTGCCAACTGGTTATTATATGGTTAATGTTGAGAAAAAATTCTCTTTAGGAAGTCAAACAGCTATGTGCGATGGAACATCATGGAGTCCCAGCATGCTTGGAACTTGTTCCACAGGTGGAACAGGTGCTTGCCTATTCTCGAATGCTTTTAAACTATGATCTAAATTAGGTATTGGTGGTCAATGCAGCACTCTACCAACAATAATGGGAGCTATTATAACATATAGTACACTATCAACGATTGGACCTTTTACATCGGGAACAACAGCAACAGTCAGTTGCACTAATGGTCAGATGGTGAATGGAGTCTCAACATCAGTGTGTCAGAATGGATTTTGGGTTCCCTCAGTTATGGGAACATGTACTAACAGCACAGGAACAATAGGTAACGAAAAAAAGATTGGAACGAAAAGAAAAGAGGATTGAATACGATTAAAAGAAAAAAACAACAACAACCGTATTTTGCGTCAACAAGAGTACAAATGAGATTTTGTTTTCGAAAACAGTATTAGCATTGGTCCACGTTTTTATCAGCTTTACAAAGATCACGAACAGTACGCACTTTAAGGAGGACAATGTATTGGAGGAGTCAGTGGACCTCTGGGATCTACTGTGCGATATTCTAATGGAGGTGTATTTGGACCTTATCCAAGTGGAACAACAGCTACGGCAATCTGTTCCTCATTTGGCTCATCGAATACCAACACTTTAACGAACTCTCTGAACGACAATTCTATTTTCTCCACTGGAAACTCAGCATGTAATCATCTATTATAACATCTTCATCAAATATTTTTGCTTTGTAGTTGGGTCGAATACTGCGAGCTGCTTAAATGGGGTTTGGAATCCAAGTGTATTAACTGGTTGTCAACAATCAACTGGAACAGGTAGCAATCATTAGCAATCCCATAATGTTGACGGTATAATGGTATAATTGGCAGGACAGTGTATAACTTTTGCAACTCGTGTTATGGGAACAATAACATACAGCACCTTGAATACTGGATCTCAATCGGTTTATCCCGACGGTACCATTGCGACACTATCATGTCCGAGCGGAATCGTAGGTTCGGCCACTTTCAGTTTGGGCTTAACTGAACAACAAACCATTTTAGGTAGTACGACATCTCGTTGTACATCAGGAATGTGGACGCCAGATTTGGGAACATGTAATTCAACTGGGGGTCTTACTAACGGAACACAATGCACGACAGCTCCTGTATCGCCTCTCGGTAGCACCGTCACCTACTCAAATCTGGGGATAATGTCTCCTTGGCCATCGGGTTAGTGGTGCAAAAAAAAACTCATAAACGTTTTCCAAGGTACGTCTGCTACAATGACTTGTCCACTTGGACAATATCCACAAGGCAACAGCATGAGCGTTTGTGAAAACGGAATGTGGGTTCCAGCTATGACAACAGTTTGCTCAACCTCTTCACTAAGTGGAAATGGTTAGTTGAGCTTCTAATCGTTTAATCTGCTATATAAGGGAATGTTATCAATGTACTGACTTTATGATAACCAACTAATAGTTCAATTTTCATGTTCGTTTTAACTGTATGGGATAAACTAAATTTGAACTTATCTTGTGTGTCTTGAAGCTTTCATCATTCGACGGTCAAGCTTCTATTCGTCTATGCTTTTAGTTCACTTTTAGTGCATTTCCTCATTTCTCTCTTGTATGTCTTTGGTTAGATTCTCTATATAGCGTGTTTCTCCTATTTGCTTGACCGTCCATCTCATAGGCTGTCTTCCGATTGCGTCGGTTTTATCGCCGGTTACGAACGGACGAGCAGTCTACATTCCTACGCCAACGGAGAGAGTAGCTATAGGAACAACAGCAACTCTTATATGTAATCCTACACATCAACCATCGGGAGCCTCCAGGATCACTTGCACAACTACTGGATGGAGTCCAGCGTCTCTTGGTCAATGTATTATGCAAGGCTTGTGCTTTTCTTCTGTTCTCAGTTCTTCTTTGTTTGGTTGAGGTGTCATCTAATACTTACATTTTTTCAAATTTACAGAAGTATTTCATGATTCCTACTAATCAGTTCTAACACCCTTTTGAAATTCTCGTTATAGGATCTGGCAATGGTGTTACATGTATGTCGCTTCTCGCACCAACGAATGGATTGTTGACATATTCGCAAGGTGGTTCTTTTGGCCCATACCCAACAGTTAGTTCACACCTCTGATTGTTTGATAAACCATGTCTCACTGCAGGGATCTATTGCTCAAGTTTCCTGTAATACTGGATACAACATCAATGGAGTCAGCACTACCACCTGTCAGAATGGTATTTGGGTGCCTTCACAGTTAGGACAATGTACTCCGCAAAGTACACTGCTCTTTGGGACATACTCTCTCTACAATCTTTGCTTATTTCAGATGGTAATGGAATGCAATGTACAAGTGCCATACCATCCGTTGCTCTTGGAACTATTAGTTATTCTCAAGTAAGCTCATTTTTTCATTCTTCGCTGATTCTCGTAACAGGGCTCTACGTTTGGTCCTTGGAACGCCGGAACGGAAGCAAGCCTAACATGCTCACCCAACTATAACCCATCTGGTTTGTTTTGCTTCATTTGTACTGAAGCTTTCCCTTTTAGGAACAGTCCGATCAACATGCTCTAATGGAGTTTGGGTACCATCCTTGCTGGGAACTTGTATACCTAGTCAGGGGAGTCTACTAAGATGTCAAGCTGTTCCATTTATTTGGTCTGGATCAGTAAGTTATTCAAAGCATCTTCAGCGTATCAATGTGGTTATAGGTATCCTACAATCCTGCTGGTTTGGCACCTTACAACGAAGGAACTGTCGCAACACTTTCTTGTAATATTGGATCTATCCCTAGTGGGGTTACTACTGTCACTTGTCAAGGAGGCAACTGGAGCCCCTTCCCAGGTATTCTTTTTCTAAAATAGTGATGAAGTTTTAAAATATTGAAATAGGTCTCGGAAGTTGCACAACAACACTAGCTCGCTCTCCACCAAAGTTGGCGCGTGCTCCTGCTAATACGGAAGACGAAAAAAATGATGTAGTCAGAGCTGATGATCAAATGGAAACTTCAGACACACATGCTTGTCCTTCTCCTCTTGCACCACCTTTCGGCGAAGTACACACATCCAGATACTGTGATTATTCAGAAGCTTCTTCCAGATTACATTCTCACGAATCAGCGCAAGGAATGGAATGTTCTCTGCTGGAACCACAGCAGCTCTCAGATGTATTATTGGTTACTCTATTGAAGGAGCATCGTTCTCAACTTGCAAACAAGGAATGTTCCGTCCAATGCTCGGTAAATGTTCGAATGGTCAGGTAGACCCACTACCTGGCGCTTGTTTACCTCTGGCATTCCCTGAACATGGAAAAGTGAGTCAAGTTAAATTTTCGAGACGTTTACAATTGTTTTAGATAACTTACATTCAGTCATCTCGAACAGTTAAGCTCGAGATAGGTACCACTGCTCTGTTGAAATGCGATGATTCGTCACGCGCTGTAACAGGAACAGCAACTTTAACATGTACAGCATCGGGATGGGAACCTGCAGATGGATTCGGAACTTGTGATGATATGCGAGATCAGCTCGTAGATGTACAGATGAAAACTAATATAATAACTGCGAAATAGTATAGGGATAGAACTATAATAATATAATATAACAAGGTCATAAGGGTATATTTAGCTGGAAATCCTAGCTTTAAGCTGTTTTCGAAATTTGTATTATTACAGAGTCATCTTCCTATTTTGGTGTGATGTGTTTGTTCAAGAAGTATTTGTCTTGTTGATGAACTTCATACGAAATCCTTTTGTATTCTTCAACCTCCCTCGCTCATGATTCCATTGTCACCTTTCACAGAAGTTACCTTCATTCCTGTTTTTTTGCCAAAAATATATTTTTTTATGTTTTCATTTCGTATATCATGTACAATTAATAAACATTAACTAAATATTGTTTGAAAATCCTTTCTGCGATGGAACACGGCTATGGTAGGATGTTTGATCAGGCACGCACACGAACTGTCCTCCAATGCTCCATAGACATTCCTTCATCATACCATGTGGACGGTAGTTTATTATAATTTCCTCTTTTTTTCAACTTTCAACATCTTTGCAAGTAAGTATAAGTTGAGGTCCCGTCTACTTTCATTCTATACAGTGGCCCAAGATTTGCGTTACTTAAGGAAAAGTAAAATTGAAAGTACAACTACTACAACTCCAACTCCAATGAGTACGATCGTATCGGCCAGAACAGGTTGTACGGAGGGAGTATGGTCAGAGTGGTCTGAGGTTCGTAACATATAGATCCATTAGAATAAACTAATCACGTCACGTGGACTGCTCGCTGAGTTTATTTTCGCACGCTCATGACGTGGAGACGGTTGAAATCATTTGTGGAGTCTATTCGCCTGTTTATCACGATAGCTTTATAGTTTATGCCTTGTAACAAAGAATGTGGAGCTTGTGGAACACGTGTGCTCCAACGAGAATGCCAAACGACTGGACAATGTCCGTGCAGGTAAGTAAGAAAGATCTCTTAACCTACAACAACAGTTTGCAGAGGAAGATCACGTAGAGAAGAGGTTTGTAATATCAAGGTTTGTGACTATCCTCAACCAGCATGCTGCCCACCACATAATCTGATTGTGTTAGAGTCTCACTTCGCATGTGGACCTCAAGACGAGGTTTGATAATGCTTCATCGTGAGTAAGCATAGCTTAGTACAGAATGTCGTAAACATGTTCCTGGAAAACGCTCAGACAATCCCATCCTTATCCCGCATCGAACAACGTAGCAAACTTGAGGTATCGTAAGCCAACTTTGCTTATAAAAACAGTAGACTAGAAATTAAAAGCAAGATTGCATCATAATACGGCTTATACAGATCCCAAACAAGAGGTAAACGTCTGATTAAAGAAAGTTTTATTTGCCACTTCACCTGTAGATTCTGGCCGATGAAGAACATCAAGCAAACCCCAAAGACTATAGAAATCTTTGGGTTACTCCTAATCTTTATTATCATTATCACCGCGTATAAAACGTTTAGTGCTACTTACAATATCACAGAGTCTGTCGTTAATAAATTATTTTTTCGTCTATTTAATGAGATCAGTTAAACATGGGCGACTTCTTCTTCGTCCAAAGCTTCTTCGTCACTATCTTTGGCATAGGGTACAAGTTTAGGGAAGCGTTCGGGTAGAATAGAGGACAAATCGTCACTCCCATCTCCCCATAATGTATTTTCACAGAGGGATAAAACCTGAAATGAGCATTTGAATATGGGATTCTAACGGTTGGTATTCACTTGGGTGAGTATAAATGTAGTGGAGTACGCGTAAACAGTACTATCACTCATTCCAGAAGAGAGATGTTGTAAATATTCTAACCAAATTTCCTTCATTAAACGTTCGCAAAGTGGGAAAAGTGGGGATCTGGAACGGAAGATTGAAATCAGCGGAAGCTGTATTAACTAACTCAAGGAATGGCAGGAAGTCTCTGGCAAGCGAAGTTACAACTCTGCTGAAATGAATAGCATGGGCTGACACGTTCAGTGCTGGTTTTCCTTCAGAGGCAACAGTCCAGTCAACATTCAACTGCACGTCACTCAATTCTTCAACAAGGCGATTGAGTGCAGAGTCCGACTCAACTATCAGGGGTCTCCACCTTTCTTCCTGAATTCAAAATCTCATAAATATCAAAAGGTATTACATACATTCATTCGAGAACGAATTCCTTGGATAGTATTTAAGAAGTTGGACTCTAAAGCTTGTTCCATAGCTGGCCCGAGAAGTCTGTATACTTCAAAGGTCAACTCAACTCCCTTAGACGCTATGTCTTCCATAGTATTCATCAAAATTCTCCAAGTATGGCTCAGAACGGCGATAGTTGGAGCAACTTCTGCAGAGCGATTATAGAATGATTCATTAAAAGTACTCCTAACCGACGACGTGTCTGCGGGCAAGAGAGAGTAACACCATGAGCTCTCCAGAACACCATTGGAGCACCTTAAAACTCGGAAGATTACACAATTTACGAGTTATAGAACGAACCAATGAATATGTTTCTCTATGCTCGTCAAACTCTTTTATCACATCGTCTACAGCTGATGAATATAGAAGACATAGCTGCTTTACATATGAGAGCGGCTCTTCGGAAACAGCAATTTCACGACAAGCATTTCTTTGAAGTGCGCTTCTTCTCTTCAGATATAAATCAAGAGCATATGTACCTAGAAAATGGAATCAGACTTTAATCAAAGAACGAGTTGATAAAACCTCTTCCTAATTGTGTCAATAAGGTACGTGCTTTTTTCATCGCTCTTGGGCCTCCATGAACTGCACCAGGTCGTCTAACGTCATCACTAAGAAGTTGTATGACCTGTGAAAAGTAAACAAATCGTTCTTCATTTCTACACCTACCTGCTTCTTTCGAGAGTTCAGCTGAACATCCACAGCAGGATTCTTCGTTTTACACTGTTTCCATTCAAGAAGAAGTTCCACTGCATGTTCCAAATCTCTATGAGCAATACAGTCATCGAGTTCAGCGGGTAACTCTTCCAGCCAAGCCAACTCGTCTTCGTCTATAATATTAGCATATCACAGAGATCTTATGAAACCGTGAGAAGAATTTCATTTTAATTTTTTGGAACGCAGTGACCGGTTGTTCAGCATAGTGCCTGGCGCACTATGCTAAAACAGCTCATAGGTATTTTGGAAGTTGCATACTGATATATGTAATATTTAAAAAACCCATACCGTGAATATCATCCAGATCCTCTGTTTTCTCATCCAGAACAGGAGAGAGACTAGCTTTCTTGCGCTCCTATAGAAGATTATTATAGAACTCATAAAAGCTGTGTACCTGCACAGTTTTTCTTCGTCCTCTGATGGTAGCTTGTCGTGCCAAGCTTCCTTCGTGCAACAATTCTCTTTTTGCTCTTTCGAGCTCATCCAGCCATAGCTTTTTGACACGAGCGCTTTCACAAAGATAATATCTATGCAACATTGATTTAATACAGAAAAAACAGCATTACTAACCTCTGTTCTGGAAAGATGAGTAGCTTCAGTATTTGGTCAACACGGGAAATGCGATTCTCCCTATCTTTAACATTAACTGCTGCTAGACTGTTGAGAGAAAATGTTGACTCCAAATTATATTTCCCAGAGGTGACCATATTTCCAATCAGAAGGCGATCGGTTAGTAATATAAGCATCGATTTATGAAGAGGTTGCATCGTTTCAGCGTCCAGTAGAGTCATCTCACCATGCAAGATGACACGATCGCAAGATCGGAGGTTATTCAAAATACCCTAGAGCAGATTAATTGAGAAATATAACAAAACTCTTACCGCTATTCCATCCATTCGTTGCATGAGCAGTTGTATGGGGTTGTTTCCTCCTACTGCTGATTGACTAGAAACTGTATGCAAAGATGTTTTATCATCACCTGAATAGTTGGATGATTAACTAAAAAATCGATGCGGTTCCTTACTATTCATCTGAATCAAGTTCTCAATAAGTTGTTTCTGATCCATAAGTAAGGATGAAAGTTGATAGACTTCTCTTTCCAAGTCTAAGAAAAGAAACTAGTGCTTCTACTAGCTGGTGATAACATACGTGAAATCTCTTTAGAAGTATCAATGAACTGCTGATAGTTCTCAAAAACACTATTTTTCAGAACGTCTTGCGTTGCAGTACTGATAGCATTCATTTCTGAACGCAAGTTCTTGAGATCTCGACTTTCACATCCTAATTTGGAATCCTTAAGTCTTTCTCTGATATCTACAATCCGACAATAATGAAAAACCGAAGTAGAACAGAAAACTCACATTCGGATGGAACAAAATTGGAATCAGAAAGTATTTCCTCATCAGTTCTTCTATGTTTGTATCCCCTTTCATCCATGTTTAATACCTAAATTTGTTTAATACATATATGTATAGCGGTTTAAGCTGGAAACTAGAAAAGCGCTAGTGACCAAGAATGCGCTAGGTCATTTTATTGACGCAAACCACCAACAAAGTTGGCAAGCAGCCAGCATCATTTATACCGCGAACTTTGTTTGGTGTTTATTATGCTAATTTATGCGCTTAATTGTTTTAATTATTAATGATTGTGTTAGAGAACTAATTTGAGATGGTTTTCAGACAAAATTCTGCCGTTGTTCGTCGACAATGATGAATACGGAGTCGACCAGCGAACCACGTGTTTTTCGCCCGGATGATCTCATTTGGGCAAAAATGAAGGGTTTTCCTCCGTGGCCAGCTAAAGTAATAGCCATTCTGATCATTTCCACTATGATATTCCATATTCAGGTTATCTCATCTGGTGAAGATATTCCCCCGGGAAGAATACCAGTAATGTTCTTTGGTACAAGGGAAACAGCTTTCATGAAACCTTCAGATTTGAGTGATTATATGACATTTCGTCAACAGCATGAAGTTTCACGGAAACATAAGGTGTGAGACACTCAAATATTCCGAAAACCGTTTTGAATTCAGGGTTTCAATGAAGGGATTCATGAAATTCGAGTTGCTGCCATGCTAGAAGCGCCTGATTACAAAGACCCATTGTTTTTCCCCAACTTAGATTCAGGAAAAAGTCCTTCTCCTATGCCAACACAGCCTGGCCAGCGGAGGCAAAGCGGAAGAATGCTATCAGACGCTTTTCTCACAGGATATGAGAATAAAAAATCCAACAGTGCATCCACAGTGTAAGATAATTTCCTGATAACGTGTGGTATATGTTTGTGTTCAGATCACGGTCTCGAGCAAGTAGTACAGCTTCTGCTTTAAAGCAGCTAAAAAAAGAAATTTTCCGCCGTAGGCTAGATAGTGAAAGCTCTAATGGCTCGAGAAGAAATAAAATGATTAGTGGTTTAGAAAAAATTCAAAGTACAGATTTTTATGCTCAGCTAGGGGTAAGAAATTGTTTGTCATACATAGCAATCTGGGTTCTTCTTCAGAATCTGGATGATTTCCCTCTTATTGGCGATGACCATTTGGGTGCTGATGATGCTCGTTCGACTAGATCTAAAAGATCACGAGGATCTTCAAAAGTTTTCGAAGAATATATATTGGGTTCTCGTACTCGACATCGCTCTGGAAGTATAAGTGAGAATAGAGGAACTCGTAGCAGGTATATATTGCGTTTGAAAGTTTTGCTAGTTACTGTATATATAGATTAATATCTGGAGTTTCTGATTTCTTTGATGATTTGTTGTTCCCTACGGCTTCGATTGCTCAAGCAGCAAGCGGAGAAATTATGCATGTTCTGGACGATTTTCCATCTGAAAGTAGTGAAGTACGTTTGAATCCGAAGTTTCTTTTCTATCTTGAACTCTAAGGGTCGGCCCGGAACACCCGAAGCTCCTGCTCCTCTACCTCGCCCCAACGAGTTTTGTAAAGACTGTGGTTGCGAATGTACATTAGTTGGATTGAAATGGAGGTAATTGGCTTTTCACCTATCATTTTAAAATGTTGTATGTAGATGTACTTCAAAGTACTGCTTAAAATGGAATGGAATAGCCGAACCATATAATAGACCCAGTACTTCTATTGCCCCTCCGGTTGATTTCCCAGTGGAAGTGAAAGAAGAAACACCTGTAAGCCAATATTTTAAAATGATTTTTCATTGTTTCTTTTTCCGAAACCGAAAGAGCCTGGCATCAGTACAAATACAATCAACAGGAAACGTCCCAAGATCAGAATTAAGCATGAGGTAGTTTCTACCCTGTCGACATGATATCATTTAAACATTTGTAGGATGATTCTCCTAAAAGGGAAAAATCTGTTAAAGAGAGAATACGAGAAGACTTCAACCGATTTGATAAACAGATTGCTTCCACTGTTACAAATGTAGAAAGCCCTAAGCATGACTCCTCCTCGCCTGATAGATCTCGGAGTCCTAAAAAAGCTGTTGAAGTTCAGCCAACTATTACCAAAAGGGCCACTGGACGGCCAAAACAATAGTATGTTCTGATTAGTCGGAGTCTTATATGTTTATTAATTTAGCAAAGTTGAAAGTACACCTCCCATTAATCATAATGGTTTGAGAAGTTGCACGTTCTGTAATGGTCAAGTTAGACCTCAAATGTGTGGTGGAAACAAGCATAGGTGAGAGCGGCTTTCTTGGATAGTTTTCAAAATTCAATTTCAGATGGCGTTGTGTTGATAAGAAATGTCGAAAGTGGTATGGATGGGTGAAGTCTAGCGATGAGATTCCCCGAGATCTTGGCAGGAAAGGTCGTTTCAGTAATGTTCTTGAAAAAGCTAGACGACGAGAACGACTTCGTTCTCACAATTCTACGAGCTCAGCTCAGAGTTGGTTACATTCCGCTGTGATTAAAATATGTTTTCTGACTTTAGTGGCCGAAGCTGCGTCTATTTCATCTGCAGGAGAAGCGGCAGCAGCTGCTGCTGGATTAGACACTGCATCCTTAATGAGTGATGATAGACAAAGTGGAAGAATAGGTTCTATTGCTAAAGAGTTATCAGCTCGAGCTGGAGATGATCAACCTGTAAGATACTCTTTCATGTACAATTTGTTTACTTATTCAATCAGAGAAAAAAAGGACGTCCACCCAAGCAAACTGGCATAAAAATAAAATTAAAGGGCAAAGATAAGAAAGATGGAAAACGAAAAGCGACTGAGGTTTGATCTTTCTTGTTTCAGTACTGAATGGAATAATTACAGAGTGAGCAGAGAGTAAAACGCAAATATACCAAGAGGAAGGATGCTGATGTAACTAAAGAGGAGGAGAAGCCATCTCGACGTATGTCATCTTTTGAAACAGTTTGAGAAAGTTCAATTTAGCTGTGTCGCCGCTCACTCCACGTGAATTACGCTACCGGCCATGTGCGATGGAAAAACGAGGCAGATGGTGGATAAGTGAAAAGAGAAAGATTGATGTTAGTCCAGAAAGGTATGAGTGATTTGTTAAAAGGGTGTTGAGAATGGAGACTTTAGGGAGTTCCAAACAGAAACTGCCGATTCTGCCGCTGCTTTTAGAATTTTATCACATGCCTTCCGGGCAGCTGCTGTCACAAGGTTGATCACTTGTCAATAGACTATGTTCTTACTAACTACCATCATTTCAGAGCTGATGAACCTGGAACCGTCAATGGATCCCTTGATCTCATGATGGATTCTTTGTTGGGCTGCATGGCCCCGTTATTATCACTACTGGGTAGGTTGCCGAATACAAGACCGGATCCTCAAGTTCTGCAACAACTTTGGAATGCATCAGCTGTACATTTGCCAATGTTCCAATGATTAGTGTTAGGTTCGAATTCATTCTTGTACTTTACGTTGGTTCAGATTTTAAATTTTGATCTCAATCTGGACATAATAGATGTTTATATGTTGTACATGTCATTTTGCTCATTCTTGTTACTTACTCACTTTACATTACAAATGAGAACGAAGATTGCCTTAGTTGCAAATATCGCAAAGGAATTTCTCCGCCCTAGTCTTTCATAATTTGCTGATTTATATTGGTATTCAGATGCTTGTTGAGCCTTTTTTCTTTAATTTTTATTAATATAGTTATTGTGTTTTTGGGTGTTCAAGTATCTGATAAACTTGTCGAAATGTTCTTCCGATGTTGATGGTCTGCATAACACAATGAGAAATATCACTTGCAATCAATAGTCGTTACCTGTGAGCACGTTTACCGTCTGGCAAAAAGAACTTCATTGTGACAGGCTTAGATGGCTCTGTGAGCGAAGCATCTAATGTAAAGTAGACCCTTGAACGAGATGAACTTCAATGTCAAGACTATGTCTCACCTTGAAGACGCATATCCATTCGACCATCTGGAACAGTACTTATACTTGTTCGAGCCATTGAGATATACTAAACACAAGAAATCCACTACGTAATGAATACGCGGATTGTATTTCCATTTCTGGAAACTGTTCTTTAGTAGATTATTTTAAGTACTTTCGAACCTTTTCAATGAAATCAATAATTGCTCTTTTTCCTATCAACGGAGTCATTGAGGCGGAAATTGGCCAGCGCACATCCAACAGGTCATTAGGGACATCAGCTCTATGATAAAGAACTCGATTATCTGCTTTTGATAAGATTTTCTCACAAGTAAGTAGGTATATGGTATATCGTTGTGGGCTCATCCTTATTTGGGATCAAGTGATTGAATCGATTGTAATAGGCAACTCTATAACAGAGCTCCTACAGGCTAGTAAAACAGAAAAGGTTACTTGGGAAACTCATCTAGGCGCACCGACTTATTCGGCAAATCTTCGTCGGTAGTCTGTGTGGTATCTTCGGAACAGCATGAACTCTGAAAAGCATATTGAAACTGAAGATTGAAAGTAGTAGGTTACATCTTCAGATAAGTGTAAGATGGCTTCGCGAAATGCTCTGCTCAGAACTATCCGAGCCAAATTCCGACAATTCCACCACTCCAAGTCCATGTGCAGCGCGAACGAAAGGAACAAAGAAGAAAAAACCGAAAATTCTCAAAAGTCAAGAGGAAACACGGCTCAACGAGCATCTAATGGAAACCAGAATGAAGGAAGTTGAACATTTATTCCTATTGGTATGGTTGCTTCTATATGAATACTATGAAATAGCTTTACAACTTCATTTCGAGAAAATATCTTAAATTATAGGAGAACCCGTGGAAACGTTGTATGAAATAGGCAATTAAGCTATTAGATGAGGTGCTGACATCATAATGGCCAAAATAGAAACAACTATGAAGACAGTAAACATGATCATGCAAGCCCTGTCGATAGCCATGGCAGCGAATCTCCAATCATTCTGGATCAATTCTTCACGTTCTTCTTTGTCCAGTTGATTGCATATCTGAAGATATGAATACAGTCCTCTGTCTATGTTTGATGGTACTCACTTGTTTCAGTTCTTTGTATACAGCATGCAACAGTAGTACTTGCGCTTCATAAGCTGGATGATGACTAGGTAAATCTGGTGATAAAGGATGTTTCAGCTCTCTGGGTGGACGCGGTCTTTTATCATACGATACACCTTTCCTATATTGATGGTGAGGCCTTGACATGAACAAAATCCATGGCAGCCATTCCAGAAGAATTCGTCGAACCTTCAAACCCGAACTCAAATACTTTTACTGAAAAAGAACTAACTAGTGGACTCATCTGATGAGTGTCTGGAGTACGAAAATGTAGATTAAGAACAACAACGGTGAAAACTACTGAAGCCGATATAACAAGCATACAACATGAGAAGAAAACTCCTGAGAAAGTAAATGTGAGTTCACTTCATTTTGAATGGGTATTACCAATCAATGGAACAGCATCAGAAGTTGGAGGAGTCATCTCTGAGACCATGCTGAGAAAGAACACGATTGCCAATAAAATAGTTACTTCTGCAAAAGGATGAGGCTCATGGATCATGGGAAACTCGCATACCGAGGGTGATTTTCTCACCAGCATCGGGTGGTAAAGTAAATCCAAGTACAGTCATTAATGAGATCAGCAGTGACGGAATAATCAAATTGAATCCTATATGGGAAAAAGATATGAACCAGCTGATTTCAGTACGAACCATAGAAGAGAGTTCGTCTTCGTAGGTGAAGAAAGTATTTAACAGTTGGATAAGGCTCGGGGCAGCATTTATAATAGTTAACGTGACGAACAGCTGGAGAACCAATAACAATCCATTCTCCATTCACTACATAGGTAGACATGTCCATTGAATGAGCTGTAAGTAGCATAACTTCATGACTGTTATTGTCCCTACTACTCTCAGTAGTAATCAATAATCATGCTCTAATTAGCATATCTGTACCAATGCTAATATGTCGTCATTTTTAAAAAACTGGCACGTGCAGAGCGGTTGTTTCATTCGATTTCTAATGTCATCAGAAATGAGATTTGTTTTAGCTATTGACTTCTTGATTTCATCATATAGTTACTTACTCGCATTAGATTCAGTAGTATCGATTTGTAAATCAATCGCAAATCCATGAAATGTCCAGGAGCCAAATTTCAGTTCGCATATTTGATCATCGAAAGGAAACCTCAAAAACAAGTTATAGCATTTCAACACACGAACAGTCCTCTCTACCACGTCACATCAAGTTGACAAACAAATTTGAGAACGCCCGGTGGAATCCATGTAACATCTCCTGTATTGTAAACAACAAGGTTGCTTTTGAACGTCGAATCGAAGTCCTCAGCAGCACTATCGAAATAAATAAACATTTATAAGAAAAATGAAAAGCGAACCTATTGTAGAGGAGAATATCTGGCTTCCAAATATGATCAGTAGCGCCAGGGAACCGAATGTCTTTGATCCCATCATAGTGTTTAGGATCCCATCCTAGCTTATAATCTCTCCAAGTCTTAACATACTTGTATTGAGAGCACAAAGAGCAATCATTGAACATACGTAACTGAGCCAGGCATTAATACTCACAAGCTGGTTCTTCTCGTCTACATCAAGAATTTGTTGTAGAAATAATTTAATTTTAACAACCAAAGGCTGGGTAGCATTCTCCACCGGTCTTTCCAAAGGATTATATCCTGAAACTTCGTTATGGACTGTTTGTAATTTAACACATAAATATGTCGGGAAAGTATCTTGAAGCATGACCGGATGTTGAATCTAGAGAGCTCAACTAATATTTGAGCAATCTGTTTCGTCGTCCATTGCAGATTTCAAAATTTTTCAAAATCTCGAAAATATCATAAATTAATGGGTCGAACCAGATACTTTGATACAAACAATATTAATGTTTTGAGAGAAGCGAAAAGAGCTTTACCTGTTAACAGATCAGCGAAAAGCTTCGTCTCCGCAAGACTTGATTCGGAAGGAGTGACTACTAGTAACAAAAAGAGCAGGCTTAAAGCCTTATACGAAATCATTGCATGATCTTGCAGCTAAGAGGTTTTAGAGAAAGTATATATAACAGTCTTCTAATTCTAATTTCTAAAATAAAAGATATAAAGACGAGGGAGGAGAATGAACTGAGGCCAGGGGATAAAGCAAACATTCATCCGTCGTCGGCGACACATCTATTGATTAACATTTTTGTACTCCTTTCGTATGATACTTCAACTTCAAAATGAAATATTCATTAAAATTAAGACATGCAAGATCAAAAGTAATCATAAGGAATGATACTCGTTTACAATACCCATGTAGCGTAGAGCAAGCTAGCAAACTGATAAGACACTTTAAAACTAATCCGAATCAAATAAAATCTAGAAAGAGTATGGACCAGCGTTCTCATCTGCATTGGCATATCGGTTCTCCATAGAGCCATCAGCATCATCAGCGAAGAATTCGGAAATTATTCTATGGCACAGATCGTAGACCTTCTCAGATTCAGATCCTTGTAATTTTTCGAAGTTGTCAAGTCCACCAGCCTCTTCAATCTCGGTCTGGATGGTTTCATAAAGATGAGAGTTTCTGAAACAAATAACTATCATGATTGACCTACGATCGAACACTTACGTTGTAGAAACTGTTGACAAAATGGTGTAGAGAGTTTCTAAGGTGTTAGTAAGCAAATCAGCATTTGTTTGAGTAAGAAGACCACAGAGCACTGAAACGGCTCCATCGGAGACGAGAGCAACAATTTGTTTAGATGTTCCTCCTTGAGCCAAGTTAGCAACAGCCCATGAAGCTTCGAATTGGCATTTGAATTCTCCCTTGGAAACATTATATAGAATAATACATCTGGGTATAACTTACAGATTTCAAGACTTCAATGATGAAGGGAAGAAGGCCTGCATCAATAACAGCTTGAATTTGGGCTTGTGTTCCCGCAATAATATTAGAAAGAAGCCAGCAGCACTCCTTGATAACGGTGGAAGATCTGGCACGTTCCATAAGAGACTCGAGCTCTCCCAATGTTCCCAAATCAACGACAGTTTGAGTTAACTCATCATTTCCAGTAGCCATGTTTCCAAGAACACGGAGAGCTGGGGCGACCAATGTGTCTCCTTCTCTGAGGAACTTAAGAACAGTTGGAAGAACTCCTGAGTTCTTAGTAAGAGCAATCTGCTCATCTGGTCCATCAGACAAATATGAAATGGCCCAGCAAGCATCTTGTCTAACTTGCTTGTCTGAATGTTGAACAAGCTTGGCCAATCCTTTGCTGAGAACTTCCAAGATTGGAAGGGGAGCATTTGGGTTTTTATGACGGCACATGTTAGAATAAGCCCAAGCAAGTGTGCGGGCAAAGCTGTCTTCCAAACTGTCAAGTCTGTCCATGAGGGCAACAAGAGCATCAACACCATGACATTCTGCGAAAAAAAATTCTGAGATGACAAACACAAATATTTTTTTACCGATAACATAATCACGGAGCTGAGCGGAATCTCCAGCAATGTTAGCAACAGCCCACAAAGCCTGTTCAGCAAGAGCAGGGCTCTGGTTTACAGAAAGTACAATCAGGGGAGCAGTAGCGCCAGCTTCAACAGCAGCGACTGTTTGGGAAGAGGTACCAGACACTACATTAGTTAAAGCCCATGCAGCTTCAAATCTGACCTTATCGTCCTTGAATGAGGTGATTAATTACTGGCAGTTCGGTACATCTGACATACCTCTACGCTAAGAGCACGGACAAGAGCTTCGAGAAGTCCACATTTGATAACTTCATCAACTGGAGGATTCTTAGTCTTTGAGAGAGTACGGCGGAGAGATTCGAAACAGTTTCTCATTTGCTCCAAGTTAGGGTTGTTAGTAAGGATATTAAGAACCTCTTCGTTGGTGAGGACAGCAGGCTTGGTAGCAACAGCAGCTTAAATTAAAAACCTTATGAAAATCCTTATATTGTGTAATACTTGGCTTTTCGGCATCAGAAACTTCAGACTCATCGTCATCCTCTTTCAAGTTTCTTCTCTTCATGAGAAGCTGATCTCCTTTCATCTTTCTGATTTCAACGCTGCATTCATTTCTTCTGCGTCTCATATCCTTTCATGGAAGACATTTACAAAGTAATACTTAGAATACAAACCTCATGCTTAGCCAAGTTCTTATACTGCTTGATTCTAGCATCCTTTCCTTCGGGGCTCTTGTCAAGGTTGTTAGTCTCAGTAAGTGTCATCTTCTAAAATTAGTGAATATAAGTTGATTAAAGGCTATATATGGATGAATGCAACTATGTTCTGTGCAGAACGAGTCAACAATGTGTCTTAGAGAACAGCTAACGAATGAATGGTGATAGAATCTTCGAAACTCAAGAATTAAACTTTCGCGCCATTATTTCAAAATTTAGCGGCACACGCAAAAGGTGTCTGTCAATAGTACTTACGCAAGTTATGTGTCTTGTTCTACTCCCCAAGAAAACGAGATTTTCGTTAAAAAATCTACTTTAGCTTTCACAAAAAAATATTTTTTTTGAAAATATTCCTTAAATGGATGAAATTTTAAATACCACAGTGCTTTCTACTAAGACATAGCTATGAATCGTCTTCGAATGTTATGATTTACACCTCATCGCTGGATATTTTCAGTTGATGACTAGATTTCTTAAATATATATTTGATATATAAACAATGATTCCAAGTTTTACTCGAACGTTTTCTTCCACAACTAAAGTTGTTAAAAAGGTTTGTGAACATCAGTGACGCATTGCAATCGATATTTGAAGGTGAATTGTGCTGTATATGGGAGTGGATTATCCGCTAGTGGAGCGCTAGGCATTCCTAAGTCAGTGTTAATTAAAATATAAAAGATAACATATGTAGTATAGCCTGGTAGTGAACAATAAAGTAGTGAAAGCTCGTGAGCAGCCAAAACCCACTCGCATCACGTATCTAAACACTCTTGGCATTAACAAGATATCAGCTGGATTTGGCTTTTCGTTATTTGCTTCGAACAGCAAGCTATTTGGAGCTGGTCTGAACAATAGGTACCCTACATCATCTTACTCGTGTACAACCTAACGTTATAGGTTTCAAGTAACAACACAACTAGGGAAAGAAGGTGTTCAAGACTACTATATAAGCTGTAAGAAGCTTGCTCTACCTGAAAGTCAGTGTTCTTCAAATTATTTCTTTAACACTTAATTTCAAATAGATGTGAAAATCCTCTCCATTTCAAGCGGAAGAGCACATTCTTTGGTCGCCACGAACGTAGGGTTGTTTGCGTTCGGTGATAACTGTCATGGTCAATGTGGTGTGAACCCAGAAATCCATTCTGAAGTTTTCGGCGTGAGTACGTTGCAGATATAGAATAGAAACTAAGTCAATGTTGTTTCAGACCGCTGAGAAACCTCTGCCGTTAGTTAATATCCCATCAGAAGCATTAGTTACAAGTGTTCACTGTGCTCTGGATACTTCTTTCGCTGTGACTTCAAAAGGAGAAGTATGTGCCGTAGCTTATACGTTCCGCTTTACATTTCGTGAAGGTTTTCGCTTTTGGTCTTAATGAAGATGGTCAGTGCTCTAACGGATCTTATGGAATACAGTTTCATCCGAGTTTGATAACTGGTACGTTCCCCTACTTCTCGAATGAATTAGGCATTCAATACACTCGACTCTTTGTGGATTCTTTTTGTTTTTTGAGTTCTCTCTTTTTAGGAGATGCATCTGATGTTCCGATTGTTGAAGTAAGTGGCAGTTCTGACACAATTTTTGGATTATCAAAAGAGGGAGAAGCTTTCATTTGGGGCCAATGCGAGTATAATCAAGCTGGGGAAGGATTGAGAGATGTCCAAGTACGAGTTCTTTCATCAACTCCATTGTTCAGTTGTTTTCAGTTGAACGTCTCCAGAAGATTACCATTTAACTTAGGGAATGTTACTTCTATTGGTAGTTCTACTGCAGCTGTGGTAGCTTCTAATTCAGAAGGACAAGTAATAATATACAAATCATTGTACCACAGTTTCATATAATTCGTCTAGGTATACGTTTGGGGAGTCGGACTGCTAGGATTGGGTCCCTCTGTTCAAAGGCTTGTTCGCCCAACCATGATGGATCAACCACTGTTCAACAACAAAAAGGTTTGTGAATTGAGATTGGATTTCACAAAGGCTCTTCAGGTGACCCAAGTTTATGGTGGTAATACTGGGATGTGTGCTATAAATGAAGAAGGGACTTGTTTCAGTTGGGGCCAGAACAGGTCAGTCTGACTTCTCTCCCCAGTTATTCAGTGCTTGTTTCAGATATGGTCTGCTGGCTCTGGGACACTACAAAGATCAGTATTTTCCTTTCCAAGTCAGTGTTCCTGGTGACGTGAAAACCGTTGCTATCGGACCAGATCACGCATTAGTTTTGATGAAATAGATTGTTAGCTGTTTTTTGAAAACGGGTTTTGTATATAAAAATTTCTACTCAGTTATGTTCTAGTTGTCGACCAGGACTCTTCCGTTGACTCTGATTACCTTAACCTTACTTCATTTTTCAAATTTCTCTCAGTCAATTCCTTTTACAGATGACTGTCGAAAGAGCTGCAGGGCTTGTCGTTTATCGGAAGATTGCCGATAAGATCGAGTATCTTTTGCTAAAAGCCAGTTATCCTCCATTCCATTGGAGTCCACCAAAAGGTGTGATGTTGATGAACAACTTCTCAATCCGAATTTTAAGGTCATGTCGACCCAGGAGAAGACGAATGGACCGCGGCTCTCCGTGAGACAGAAGAAGAAGCTGGGCTAAAGCAAGATCAACTGATTATTCATGAGGATTGTCAGCATACTTTGGCATACCAGGTGAGAGTAATAAGTTTGATCTCATCCCGTTGCTTTGAGGTTCCTCAACGTGGCAATCCCAGCAATATGGTTGACAAAACTGTGAAATATTGGTTAGCAGGATTGAAGAACCCTGACTGTATTGCTCTCTCCGATGAACATACTGTATGAATTAGCATAAATTCAAATAGAATCCTCTCTTTCTACAGAATTCCAAATGGTCGGATATCGAAGAGTCCGTTACGACTGCAGGATTCAAAGATACGGAAACGCTTTTACGCAAATTTCATGAATATCTTTTGAACAGAAAGTGAATTGTATGCTGTGATACTCTCATAAAAGCTTTTTCATAACCATAATTGGCTTTTAGTTATTCAATAGATTTCCTTTGTGATTATGATTCAAACCAACAGTCCACATAGCTCTGCAGGAGAAGATGGTTCCGACGTTCTTGCTCCTGTTGTGTCTTTACTATTGCTCAGGTATCTTTCTGATGAATTCGGTCATTTCTCTATTGTTTTAGAAGGACAGTTCATTAATGAATCGTCTCAAGACAAAAGGCTGTTTGCTCAACTGCAACCTTCTAATCAGCTTGCGCTAAATGAACAAGATTCATCTATGAACCACTTGGACTCTCATGTTCATAAGCTTTTAGATATCGCTATCGACAAATTGAGTTCGAAAGTTCTTGTGTAAGGAAATCCTCACCTAATGATATGACGAAGTGTTGTCTCTTTAGATTCAGCTGTGCTCGAAATGATGGTCCTCCCTTAAGTTGCAAGACTGTTGATACAATGACAATTTGTTTCAATAATTCGGATATTGTGGTTATGGGGATACCTCTTATGTATGTTCTTGTTAGGATGTTATAACCATCTCTCATCTTCAGGTACAAGACCACAGACTATGAGTTGAGACAGATTGTCTCCTGGATATCCAGATGTTCAGTGCAAAATAAAACGGAGAATGGCTACGTAACGCAACTGATCATCGATCGTCTGAGACAAACGCCTATTCTGTGAGCTTTTTACAAATTCATTTTTTGCAATGCAATCGCAATCAATTTCAAGTTACAACGTGGGAACGACGCATCACTGGTTTAGCGCTTTGGCATTTCTAATTCTAGCGCTCCTCCTCTGACTTTGGCCACAACACTCTTTCGTCTTTTCTGTTTCGTGAAATTAGGTTTGGAGTAATATGTGCAAGTAAAACCTTTTGACTGTTGATATGTCTCGAGTCTTTGAATGGCAGAGAGTAACCAAGATTTTTCTTCTATCAACTTCTTCTCTGATTCGATTATTTGCTTTTTTTTTGATTGGATCTGAACAGTGATCCCCGAAAACTGATTCCTTCACGGGTAAAGCTACCTCTAGGATTTCCTTGTTTATATTAACCAGCACACGTTGAGAGTTTCGCTCTAGACGATCTACACTGCGCGCGACGATTGAGCACGTCTGTCAAAAAATTCATTTTTATTTATTATCCAAATAAGGCGAAGGAACCATCTGGGTTTGCATGTTCAGATTGTTCCTGATATCCTCGAGGAGTTTTTCATGAAGTTCTCCTACAACATCACCGTTCTGAAACAACTGAACCTCTTCTTCGTTAAATTAGTTTCAACGCACAGTACAGCCGCTCTCTTTGGACATTGTAATAAAAATGAGGATTTGAAAAAGTTTATTAAATTCAAAGGGCGGCAAATAATACAAATAACTCTGTGTTGCTTTATACATTCTGTGCGCGTCTTCGTTGCTGTTCCAAGAAGTCTACTCCTCCACCTGTGGCTATCTATAACACATGATACTTGGTTCAATTCCAGTTCGTTGCCATTACCTCATTGTTCTTCCAAGAAAGGAATTTCAAATAGCAATCAAAGCCGTACGCACACATTGCTCCGAAAGCAAAAAACTGCAAAACGACAGTAATTTCGGTTTTTGATCGTTTAGAGGGAGATGGAGCAGACGGGATTTTTCTGCTTTCCTCTGTCAACTTACGGATGCGAAAGCGTACGTTCCGGTAGCGGGTTGTTGGGTTACAACTGCTGCCAAAACGGAGGCTGCAATGAAGAAGAAGATAGTCCAGGCAAAGCAATAGCACATTTCCTAAAACAAAATGGTTTTTGGAGCAGTATTGTTAAGTAAACCATAACAATCCATGGAATTTGAGGTAGGCTATCAACAACTCTGAAAATGTAGAGAAGAAGAAGAGTTGTGGTTATGGAGAGACCAATTGAAGTAACGAATGTAGCCCAATTAGCTCCTTAATTCGAATAAGTATGTACGAAGCTTGATGCATGTTTCTACCTGGGAAGGATGCACGAGCGAAGAGAATCATCATGAAGCACAGAAAACACAGGATAATACAAACGAGTTTCATGATTCCTCCTAATGTGCGAATATATGAACAATCAGCTTTTGGCAATCCAATCTGAATATGTTTATATAGATTCCCTGAGCTTCAATTGAGTTGCGAAGATCTAACATGAACTGTCGGTCCATCATCCGCAATGTATTCGGTGGTTTCGACAACTGTCGTAGTTGTTGTATACCTTGGCTCATGCATCTGAAGGCTTTTGGCTGTTTAGGTGAAGGTTTTGAGAAAGCAAGTAACGAAAGTGAAAGAAAAATGAAAGCGTTATAGTTTGAGGACACAGGAAATCGAACGCGATAGTATCAAAGTAGGTGATTCATTAGTATTCGAGAAAAATGATTTCTATTTAAGACAAGACAGCACAAAAACGAACAAAAAACGGGGAGAGAGAGAGAGGAAGACGAGAGAACCAGACAGATAAATATAGTGTCGAAGCAACTGTACGAGATGATGAATAAACGCGAAATTCAGAAGGTATGTCAACATTGAAGATGAGAAAGGTTATGGAGCTCCATATGAATGAGCTAAGATGATCAACATACAGACAAGCAGAAGATCATCAAGTTCATCAGCAACTGCGAGAATTTATTCGAAAAATAAATTTTGAATGAAGAATCAGCTAAAGGTAAAAAAGCGAATCGAACTCAGAAGTTGAACAAAGATCTAGGCCATGGGCTTCCCAACCCACGCGATGTTTACAACATAAGTAACAGCTGGGTATAAAGGACGAGATGAGCATCTTTAAATTGTGGGAGTTGAGAGATGATTGTGGAAAGCAGTTCGATAGGAGAAGAGAGAAGTTCTTTCGTTTTTTATGAATCTTTTCCCTAACATTCGTTAATCAATGTTATGTTTGCGTTGAAAAGCCTTCAGATGCATTAACGTTGTACAAAAATTGAAAACGTACGTCTTCTGAATCGCTGAGGTGTTCCTTCTTTGGTATCTCATCAGCTTCGATGAGTTTCTTTGGGGGTAAGGTAGTTGGTAATTTTGGTATTTGCTCTTCTTCCATCACTTCGGTTGTCAAACGGGAATTGGAAATATCTCCTATTTCGATTTGTGTTGCATATTCGTTGTTCGCGGATTCGATCTCTGAAGACATTCTGAAAAGGAGTAATGAAACAATCTATCATAGAGCTACATCATAAGAAGGTTAATATAGACAACCGTTCCTCGCGTGGCATTAAGTACAAAATGAAAATACAAGACACGTGTAAGCAGATTAGCATAAACAGTTTGGCAATGAAAGGAACACTACAACTTCAACAAGAAATATTCTGAACCGACTGAACTTGAACGAAATTTCTAATCTTATGACAACCACGAAATTCTGAGCTTGACGAAACGAGACAGCGATGGAAAAAGAAAAGAACTGACCAGCCGGCTTGTGATTCGAAGTCAAACTCTGGGAGATGTAACCGAATATGGCGGTGAAGGCTTTTGTATTTTCCTTACGCCAATTATTTCGTTTCAAATCTTCAATGAACTCGGCTGAAACGTTCTAAATTTAGAACCAAAGTGATTTGCTTATCCGGGAGAATGAATCAAGCAAGACAGGTTCGAACAAAGTTAGAAAGACATCTAAGTTTGAAACATCTATAGAGACGTAAATGGATGCAAAGAGAAAAGTGTAGGTGGAAGAAATGCGAAAGTAAAACCTTTCAAAAATCTTGCGCTGCTATCGTATGGAGTCAGTGTATTTCAATCGAATATAGTAGGTGCTATTGCTTCATAACCATACTTCCTTTTCCTCTTCAGAAGTGTGAATAACATTCGTGCTCGGACAGTTCAAATCTTCTTTTCAAATTTCTCAATCGATGCTTATTTACAAATCTCGCTTGCTCTGAGACGAATTGTGCACATACGGTAAACAAATACAAATTTATTGATTGATTATGTTTTGTGTGAAGTAATTAATAATTTCCTTTTATTAGCTTATACCCGTATATCACATGTTGTTTATCTTGTATCATTGTTCAGATCTCACAAGTAGTGCTTATTCATTGCTGCTCATTCAGATTCTTCTGTTTCTCATCTGCTCTTGACACATTCTCGCCGTTCCATTCAAAATCCGCTAAAACTCTTCTCGAGTTTTGATTCCACCAGAGGTTGTTCTGTGAGAGAAGAGAGATTAGTCAAGACTTCTGTTGATATGTCGAGTGGTTGTTGTAACTCCGTGGCCATAAACGGTGTAATGGAGCTAACGGGTTCGCCACCAAATAGGGCACAGTCTTCGCTATTCAAATAGGCTAATGGAGCTGGCTCGGTAGTAGTGTCGTGAATGAGATCTGCGAACAAAGCTTCAACGTCTTCAATCTCCTTTTCTGTTTTTTCCTGAGTTGACACATGCTTCTGAATGGTTTCCTGAAACACAATTTCGTTTCTGTAGTTCATTTTATCCAAACCTTCTCCGGTTCATGTTCTACGGGAGTTGTGCTAGCTACGTCTTCTGTATTGGGGTTCTGGTCTTCAACTTCTGGGGGTTCTACGATTTTTTTCGGTTTATCAAGTATCCGGAAACGAAAACTTTTCCGTTCCTTCTTCAAATCGATCGTTTTCGCCACTTTGGGAGCTTCAACATCGAGAGGTCGAGTTTTGAGTTTCCTTTTTCTCGTCTTTCTCGTGTTGTTCTCATCGGCTTTCTTCACCAAAGGTACATTCTACAACAATGTTTTCAATTATTTTGTACGAAGGAACAAGGCTTACTTCTTGAGAATTATCAGTTCGCTTGTGACGGGTGACCATCAACAAACTCTCTTCTTGTTTTTTGTTTTTGTCTAGAAGGGAACGTGTGAGGGTGTCGGCTAGCATAGTACAAACCATTTCGGATTTTTATTGATAAGAAGTGCATATGGATGCAGGGTACTCTCTCCATGTTGGAACAACTACAGGAGAAGTTGGAGGAACAGCAATCACAAGTTGCACAATGAGTATCCTGAAGAACGTACAGCGTACTCTGTTGGAAGTTATAGTTAACCTTATTCGAACATTGGCAGTTTCCATTGTAATTAATAATTTCCTCTCCTAGTTGCCATTGACCTTCTTCTAATTCGTCTAGAGTCATTCCTTCGAGTTCAATGAGACATTTTCTATGATTCTCCTCGTTTTTCTCTTTTACACTCTCAATGACTTCACATTCTAAGCCCTCTTTGTGAATATGTTCGATTATGCCTTGTACGCGCACATATTGTCGACACTCTGTTACCTTAAACAGAAGAAGTGATAATCGTAGATGTGATGAAGATGATTACAACTAGATGAGCTGGACAATAACAGAAAACATAAGTTGGCTTTTCCTCCAAACGGGAAGATTGCAAAGGGACAGGACGGCGACTATCTGTTTGGCATCGTAGATAGAGACGTTTGAAGCCTTTAACTTGTCTCGAAGATCGAACTGAGAGTGTCTCTTCGGCATTTTTGTTGATTCCATAAAACCATTCCTTAACACTCATACTTATTGTGATCAATAGTTGCTTTCGTTAAAACCTTGTATTTTGCCATGTTTTCGAACTTCTTGTCAACATAGCTTTGAGTGTCCGTGTGCTCCTTCTCGAAATGCTTTCCCATCAGGTTACGGTTCTCAAACTTTTTTCTACATACGTTACAAGAGAACATAATATGTCTCTCTTCCCTCGAACCGATATAGCAATTTGTCTGAATGAGAGACTTCCGTTTGAGATTTTTCTTCAAACTGTTACATATGGAGACGCCACACAATTCATCGCATGCGAGTGCATCTGATTGGGATCGGCCGTAGAGAAAGAACAGAACCCACACTTTACAAATTTAGACTTCTGTAAAATGGAGAAAAGTTTTGACAACAGGGCTTTGAAATACTTTGGAATGTGTTTTGGAGTGCTCTGCATATGCTGTTTTAGAACTAAATGTTTCAGAACAGATTTGACATACGATAGAGACTGAGAGATTTGAAGATCCATCATTCAAACCATCAGTGAACTGTTTGATAGCGTCATCTGATGACTTGTGAATTGATCGCATATGTCTCTTGACCGAATACGGGGTTGCTTCGTAAGGACATTGAGGACATTTCACTATCATCTATAACTTTTTGATTATTCAGCGATTCAGCAGATCATACTTACAAATAATTAATAATAGGTATCAACGAACGATTAGTCGAAGACAAGAGCCTATGGTAATCTAACTTACCGTCCTTCTAGTTTGATTATTACTACCGTTATGTCTTATATGGAATGGTCAAAAGCTTGTGCATAGCATGGTTTCATAAAGAATACGCACATCATAGCAGGTTAAGATCAGCTCGACCGACATTTTTCTTTCCACGTCACTTCTATTACGCAACCATTACTCTCAGTGATGTTTTAGTAGTTCAAAGTAATCTTTTCAAGATAGAGAGTTCCAACCTCCCTTGATAACATTGAATCGCATAGTATCAGTCTGCATCTGTTTACTACTGGTTCTTCCGTTTCCGTTCTCTTGTTTCACTTTTGTTCTCAGATGCACCGAGGGTACGCTTCTCTTATATGTGATCTTACAGATTTCTCAAAAAGGGTTAATCGAAATGGAGTCTATTCCTGCCAATGAAATTAGATCCAAATTCATAAACTTCTTCAAAGTAAGCAAAGATATATTTCCATCATGGATTCTTTCAATTTGAGGATAAATACGATCATGAGTACGTTCACTCGTCCTGCGTAATCCCCCATGACGATCCTACTCTTCTCTTCGCTAATGCTGGAATGAACCAGGTTTTCGTTGTTTTTTGTATCTCTTTTCATATCGTATTTCAGTTCAAACCAATGTTCTTGGGAATTGCTGACCCCAACAGTGATTTGGCAAAGCTCAAGAGAGCCGTGAACACTCAAAAGGTTCGAAATTTGATGGAACTCTCGACTTCATCCACTTTCTTTTCAGTGCATTCGCGCTGGAGGCAAGCATAATGATCTCGATGATGTTGGAAAGGATGTCTATCATCATACATTCTTCGAGATGTTGGGTAATTGGTCTTTCGGAGATTACTTCAAGGTTCACCTTTCTCATGTTATCAAATTATTCAAGATTCTATAGAAAGAGATCATTGCTTGGGCATGGGAGCTTTTGACTGAAGTTTTCAAAATCCCCAAGGAACGTTTGTACGTTTCATACTTCGGAGGAGATGAGAAGGCTGGAGTACCTGCTGATGATGAAGCTAAGACTTTCTGGTTGAGCTTGGGGTAATCTTGTTATTATTTTTCTGTTGCATCGAAATTGTTCTCAGAGTTCCTGATAATCATATCTTACCATTCGGTATGAAAGACAATTTCTGGGAAATGGGTGATGTCGGACCATGTGGACCTTGCTCTGAGATCCATTATGACCGTATTGGAAACCGTGATGCTAGTCATCTTGTTAATGCTGATGACCCAATGGTTGTCGAGATTTGGAATCTTGTATTCATTCAGTTCAACAGGTTTTCTAAAATTTCATTTCGTTTCTCCTATTGATATATTCAGAGAGGAAGGTGGAAGTCTCCGTTCCCTTCCTTCCAAGCACATCGATTGTGGTCTTGGACTTGAGCGTCTTGTTGCTGTTTTGCAAAACAAAACTAGTAACTATGATACTGACCTCTTCCAACCAATCTTCAAAGCTATCAAAGAAGTAAGCATAACTACCGAAGTGATTACAGTAGCTTTCTTTTCCAGGGAACTGGAATCAGAGAATACACCGGATTAGTTGGTGACGAAGACCAGGATGGTATCGATATGGCTTACAGGTTTTTATTGCCAAGATATTTAAATTATTTTTTCCGCTTTCAAGAGTTGTTGCTGATCATATCAGAACTCTCGTGATTGCTCTTTCTGATGGTGGCCGTCCTGATAACACAGGCCGTGGGTAAGGTGTTCGTTTTCGTACTTTGACTCTATCGGTCATAACAGATATGTTTTACGCCGTGTTCTTCGTCGTGGAATCCGTTACGCCACTGAGAAGCTTAATGCCAAGCCAGGATTTTTCGCTTCACTCGTTCCTGTCGTTGTAGACATTTTGGTAAATCTATTCTCTAGTCCTTCTGGATGCCCTTTTGTTTCCAGGAAAGCACATTCCCTGAAATCAAGAGAGATCCTGAAAACGTTAAAGATATCATCAATGATGAAGAAACTCAATTCTTGAAAACTTTGAACAGAGGACGTATATTATTCCAAAGAGCTGTTTCTCAACTCCCAGAGGGAGTGAAGACCTTCCCCGGCGACGTTGCCTGGAGATTGTATGACACTTACGGCTTCCCTGCTGATTTGACTCAACTCATGGCTGAAGAGAAAGGATTGACTGTTGATCAGGAGGATTTCGAGAGAAATCGCCAAAAAGCTATTGTAAGTCGATGTTTTCTCTTTCCGTCTGCTCATCTTCTACACTGCAGGAGTTATCCGCTGCTGGTGCTGGCAAAACCCGTGAAAGTGTTGATTTGGATGTTCATGCTATCGCTGATCTCCAAAAGAGATCCGTCCCTACCACAGATGATTCTCCCAAATACAATTATGTATACGAGGGAGGACAAGACGAGAACGCTCAATATAGTAACTTTACCAACAGTTCTTCTCTAATGTATGACTTCAGAGTTCGCACCCTGTGAGGGAACCGTTCTTGAAATCCGAAAGAACGGAGAATTCGTTGACACCATTTCCAATGGAGAGGAAGGTGCAATCCTCCTGGACAGAACTAACTTCTACGCCGAACAAGGAGGACAAATTTATGACGTTGGAGTTCTTGTTAAAGTCGATGATGAGGTTTTATATTACCCAGTTTGCATTTTGTGAGAAATTGTATTCAGTCTGTCGAGTTCAACGTTACTAACTGCCAGGTTCGTGGAGGATATATTCTTCTCATCGGAAGCCCAGAAGGAACTCTGAAGAAGGGAGACCGTGTAAACCAAAAGTTCGATGAAGTTAGTATTAGTTTCGAAACTTAGTTAAACTGTTTTTATATAGGAAAGAAAGCAGTTGATTATGAAAAACCACACTGGAACTCATATTCTCAACTATGCTCTCCGTGCCGTTCTCGCAGATTCCGACCAAAAGGGATCTTTGGTAGCACCAGATCGTCTTAGATTCGATTTCACTAACAAGGCAGCTATGACTCCTGCTCAGGTATCACGAAACTCGGAACAATCTTTGACGAGGTGTCTATAGGTGAAAGAAGCTGAAAGCATTGCACAAGCTCTTGTTGACACCAAGAAGAATGTTTATGCCAAAGAAGCAACTTTAGCCCAAGCTCGTGAAGTCAACGGTCTCCGTGCTATGTTCGATGAAGTAAGTTTCCTCTCTAATTCCCTATATATATATGTGTTTCAGACTTACCCAGACCCTGTTCGTGTTGTTGCCGTGGGTACAGCTATTGAAGAACTGATTGCTAATCCTAAAGCTGAAGCTGGTTTACAGACAACTGTTGAGTTCTGTGGAGGAACGTAAGTAAGCTTTCGTGTATTGAGAGTAGTTCCTCATTTAGTCATCTCCAAAACGTTGGCCATATTGGAAAATTGGTCATTACATCGGAAGAAGCTATCGCTAAAGGTATTCGTCGTATAGTTGCCGTGACTGGGCCCGAGGCTCAAAGAGCTATCGCAAGAGCTGATCGTTTGGAAGCCAAGGCTCAGGAGCTTACTGGAATTGTCGATGCCGAGAAATGCATTGATAAAGAAAAGATTAAGACCTTAGGAAAACAAATCCAAGAGCTTCTTGATGTTTGTGCCTCTCTCATTGATTTTGCAAAATGGACTACATGTTATAGATTGTCAACAGCGCCCAGCTGCCTTATTGGCGCAAGGATTCCATCAGAACTGTGTGTAAGACAGTTCAAAAGAAGTTAGATGCTCATGTAAAAGCTGCTCAAGCTAAAGTCGCTGAATTGGTTTGTGCTTGTTTGTTGTCAACTAATTGAAAATGTACTTCTAAGGTCTTGGAAGAGGGTAAGAAGTTGGCTGAGAAGACTGCCGAGGAAGCTGTTGTTGTTCATATTTTCCCAGCAGGTGCCAACAGTAAGGTAAGTTTCCTAACCGATAATCGATGTTCATACTCCTGACCTCTGAATCATAAGAGTTCAATGTGTTAGTCTGTTTCTTAATCTCGTTTTACAGGCCTTAGACAATGCAATGAAATTGCTGAAAACACAAAAAGCCGCCATGGCTTTATCCACAACAGAAGATAACAAAGTTCTTGTCTTGGCCAAAGTAGAAAAGGTTATCATACACGCTCTATATTTCTCAATACTGTAAGGCTTCAGGACGCTATTAAAGAAGGATTAACAGCTAGTAAATGGATCAATGAGGTGATTGGAATTCTAGGAGGACGTGGTGGAGGAAAAGATGCAAATGCTCAAGTTTGTTCACATCATTTTGCTGTTTTCTGATGTGTTGCTTTCAGGCTACTTGTGATTCCGATAAAAACCTTGGTGAAGCCGTCAAAGCCGCTGAGAACTATGCTTTGAACGCCTTGAAAGCCTTGAAAATCTGAAGAAGTTTCTAATTTGGAATAAGTTGATATCGAAACTTAAATTATTGTATGTGGTGGTTCTTGTTTTACTTGTTGTGGAATAAATAATTTAATTTTACTTGTTTGTTATTTACATTTGCAAAACGGAATGTCAATTCTCAGTCAATGGTTTGTGAAGAAACTAAATTCTTTTAAAACAAATGACAGGTTGAAATAAAATATTATGGACATGTATTTGAACTTGAATCGACTGTCGCATATAAGAAGCGCGATCTAAATTTCAAGTACGCAAACTTGCGTCGACCATTTTACGTATCGTCTGGCGTGACTGCCATAATACTATTTTCGTAAAGGACATTTCGTTTTACTCATACATTCATTCGAGTTCGCTTTATTTAGAACATTCATTTAATAAACTGTTATTTCAGGAAACCTATACTAATAATAAGCCAAGATGGGTAAAGGTTTCCAAAATTTTATGTCCAAAAAGGACTTCCACCCTAGTGCGTGGTGGAATTTAAAAAGAGTGAGTCTTTCTATTGTATGAACTATGGTTTCATTAATTTCATTGTAGGTATGGGAGGCGAAAGAATTAAAAGCACAAAAGGAGAAGAAAGAAGAAGAAATGAGAGTTCAGTATCAGAAAGAACAGGAAATGTTAAATAATAAGTAAGTTGCTAGTTTGTTGATTAACTTACCGCTTATGTCTTCAGAGCTCTATTGGGAGATGAAAAAGCTAAACTAGGATTATCTTTTATGTATGACCCTCCTGCCGGAATGACTAAACGTGAAGAACCAAAGGTTTGTTTTCTAAATTTCATAGTCAATGTCATATTTGAATTTATAGGAAGAACCGAAATTTGAATGGCAAAGAAAGTATCAAGCTCCTAGAGAAGAATATGCTAAGAACAATGAATTGATTCAGGATCAGCCTTTCGGTATACAGGTAGCTTCGCTCAGTATCTTCGTCTTTGTAATTCTAGTTTATAGGTGCGAAATGTTCGTTGTTGTAAATGTCACAAATATGGTCATGTTAATACTGACAAAGAATGTCCCTTATATGGAATGAGCGGAAATTATGACGATCCAGGATGTAGGCTATACAGAAGTTGTTTCGAAGTTTCATTGTTTTGTTTTCAGATGCTAACAACCCATCAGATTTGTTCAAAGAGCTCCGCAAAGGTCCAATGCCTGCTCCATCTAGGCCTACAGAAAAGTAAGTTTTAATTTCTTCAATCATTGTTTGCTGTTGTTTTAGTTCAGATGACGAGTGGACTGAGAAAACTCAGCTGGCTGAAGACATGGAGGAGAGTCATGGTTTGAAGCTGAAAGGAAAACTGCTTAAAGGTTTGAAAATGGAAATGTTTCAATTATACTGTTGTTTCAGAAATGCAGGAGGTTGATCAGTTGAAGAATATGAAAGGACCAGTCAAGACAAAAGAGGATATGGTCAAAGATTATGTACAGAATTTATCTGCAGATGAAAGGAAGAAACTCGACAAGTATGTTTTCGCTGACTGTTCATTTCATGTTTCATAATTCTTCAGGAAGATTCGAGAATTCATCACCGGCAAAACTGGAGATAAGAAAGACAAAAGCAAAAAGAAGAAGAAGCAGAAGAAGGAGAAAAAGGAGAAAAAAAGAAAACGCATGGATTCTTCTAGTAGCGATGACTCCGATCACGATCACAAGAGTACACGGAAAGAGAAGAGAAGAAAACGAATGGACTCTTCGAGTAGCGATGACTCTGAACAAGATCGCAAGGTTTCACAGAAAGAGAAAAGAAGAAAACGAATGGACTCAACCGACAGTGAGGATTCAGTAAAAGATCACAAAGATTCACGGAACGAAAAAAGAAGGAAACGTGCAGACTCTTCCAGTAGTGATGATTCGGTGGAAGATCGCAAGGATTCACGAGACGGGAGGAAAAGAAAACGATCGGTTTCTTCTGATAGTGATGACTCGGTAAAAGATCGTAAGTCTTCTCGTGATGACAGAAAAGGCTCGAAACATGACCATGTCCATGATAGAAAAAGTAAAGACTCAACTAGTGAACGTGATCGCAATCGGGACCGGGATCGGGATCGTGATCGTTCACATGCTAGTGGACGTGATCGTGAACGTGAGCATGATCATAGTCGTCGAAGTGCACGCGATCGTGATCGTAAAGCAACACATGATGACCACAGAAGTTCCAGAAGCGAAGGTTATCATGCTAAAAAAAGAAGAGGATCAGACTCTCATAGTGGGAATGATCACCGAGACTCGCGCGATGATAGAAGAAGTACCAGACACGAAAATTCCCATTCAAGAAGAAGAAGTAGATCTCCTTAATATTTTGTCAATTATAACGGTGTACTAAACAGATAATAAATGTGTATATATTGAGTTCAGTTTATGTTTGAGCATTATAATACTTTTCCGTCAATGAAGTAGTTATAAAAGAAACTTTCAGTCAGTAATGAGCGATGAGCCAAAAGTGAAGCGTCCTCTGTCTAGGGAAAACCAACTGAAAAAGCAGCTGGATAGCTTGAAAGCGGTTTTTTCATATTTATATTGAATAGTACATTTGTATTCATAGGAGGAACAAGTATTAAAACAAATGCTCATGCATCTAATGAATCGTAAGAGACAACTGCTTGTGGAAGGAGAACGCTTGAAGACATTAGAAGAAAATCAGAATCAGTGAATGATCATTTCGTGCTGTGTCACTTCAAATTTGCCAACAACATTCCTAGGTTCCGATCTTCGGTGATCTTAATGAAATCGTAAAAATGTTTTTGATACATATAATAAAGAAACTCGAACTTAATATGAAAAACCGCTCGAATGGTTCAAAATAGTTTCTATACACTACTATACTACATATAGTACTGGTTTATGAGTACGCTATATACAGTACGTATAAGGCGGAGCCTGCGCGCCGTTGAGGTCATTAGCTAAAATTTCCAATTGGTCACCACCACTTGATTCGTCAGTGAAAGCTTAAGGATGCCACCAAAACCATCTGCCAAGGGAGCTAAGAAAGCCGCCAAGAC